TCCCTAGCAGTGTCATGGTGGTGGCAGTAACTGTTGACAGCTGACGAGCTGAGAGAAGGACGCAGAAGTTGGAAGAAAAGAAGTTCAAAAAAGTTGAGGTTTAAGTAGCTATATGACTACCAGGACGACATCCAGGAGCGATCAAAGAATACACGACGGACGTAAGGAGTAGTCTCCAACCCCCCTAGCACAATGAGGGTCAGAACAGGGCTCAACACCCATATGGTTCAAATGGTCCGCAGGGACGGGGGCTCTGCCAACCGGGGAAGGTTGTAGTAAGGTTACTGTTTCCGAACACAGTGTCCTCCACCTTGTTCCATGCTGTCAATCTAACAATAGACGGATCATGGGTGTACCAGTGGAAGCAAGAGTTAGAAGAAAATTTAATAACGAATCGCGGATGCGGGATATGCAGTACGTACAATGCTGTACATGGCGCATGTTAGGGTTTGTGATCAGACATACATAAATGTACGAGACAACCATAATAATTATTATTGATTTTGCATTGTATAGGTATTGTGTATAGTGTATTATTTATTTTTTTACTTGGGCTATCGCAACAAAAAATGCTCATTGGCAGACGTAAGGGTTTTTCTGCCAGTCGGCGAATAGCAAGTCTTCTAATTCGTCTTGGGGGTTAGACATGGGGAAGAACCAGGGGCGTGAGCCCGCCTTTTCGCACCAACGCTTCTCCTGGCTCTCCTTCGGGAAAGTGAAGCAGGGAATGGAACGACTCGAGGGCCTAGGGATGAGTGTGACGGTCGGTGTGGAGTCGCGACTTGCAGCTGTTCGGCTGGTTGGTCACCCGGAGCTCCGTCAACGCGGCATAATGATAGAGCTGAAGCCAGCGCGTAGCGGAGGTTGCGCTGACTGGTTGGCAGCGGCTAGCCGAGCTCCACGACATGTACGGCCTCAGTATCGGAACTCCCGCCACAACACCGGCAACGCAACGGCCGCAGAATGTTGGAATGTTTGATCACACAGTCCCTGTGACGATGTTATTGACACCCATTTACCTTTCTATTGGTACTTTGCTTGTAGCCTTGTTATGATTCTTGTTTTCTTTTTCTGTTGCCATTCCGGTTTAGTTATTACATGTACTTATATTTTCTAACTTAAAAGTTGCGACTTCGGCGGTAATACCGTAGAATCCCGCGGATAAGCCCATGGGCTTATCTGTTTCACAAGGACATTTCGGTGGGCTTATACAAGAACATGGGCTTAAACGCGGGCATGGGCTTATACGCTGACACCAAAAGTGTGCATTGAAAAGTACCAAAGAAGTGAGAAGTACATTTCTGAAAGCCACTGTGCAAACAAAAACAACCGATGATTGTGTTGAAATGTACAAAAAAAACAAAAAACAACATGACTACGTACATGGTACGATCAAGAGTCCATACTTTATGGACTCTTGCTGCAATTTGGCCCATGGGCTTGTACGATGAAGCTTTGTGATGTTCGAACTTTCCCTGGGCTTATGCGGGAGCATGGGCTTATACGCGGGTGGGCTTATCCCCCGCGGGATTCTACGGTATACCGGTAGTCATGAAGTTGATTGTTCCAACTAGGAACACACGCTTCTTGCCGAACTTGACACTTGACTGACTCACGACTGCCATCCGGTGCAATATTAGCGCCCCTTTTTCGCACCAAATTATTATTTTTGCTAGTTGACCCTGCAACCCCCCCCCCCCCCCTTTTCGATGCCAGGTTGTAAAGCTAACGCGGAGACCTCTGGTCGGTCGAGTTGCTCCCTGTACATCGGCAGGTCGTCCCTACATCCCCTGTGTCTTGTTTCGTGTTTGTCTCCACATGTCTCTTGATAGGCTATAGGGCTGTGTTCTTAGAAAAAAAATTAAAAAAATATAAAAAATTTCTGCCTTGTTAGTTCTGCCATTATGCCATGCATGTACTACTGTTTTCTTTGAACTTTCTTTTTGGAAATTGACATGAGCTCAATGCTTCCGTCTCATTGTATAGATTTCGACTTCGTAGTTCTCGGCTGTAGTCTATCAGTAGAATTGTACAATATGTTAACACGTATTCCGTCAACTATCGTACATGTGTCATACTTACAGTATAGTACTCAGCAGTTTTCGGGATTTATTTTTTGGAGTAGATAGTGGACAGTTCGAGGGTTTTATGACTGTTTTGAGATTTGTTTCTTTGTTGCCTATTCTGCAGTTGCATGCATATTAGCACCTCATTTACCCCGCTCGTTCCTCATTCCATTTTAAGCGAAGACTAGCCAAGCTTGCTTTACGAAGTCAACGCGAAAAGGCTAATACTAATAATACTTCGCAGCAAACCCTAAGTTTTATAATAGCAATAAAGAGAACACATTCTGCTGTCATCGCCACACTACACCGAAGTCATGAAAGTTTCCAAAATCGGTTTTGCTGTCACATTCATCAGTGGAATGTCGTAACTGAAGAGAATCCATGCCGCAGTGAACAATGATTCAGTGTGGCGATGACAGCAGAATTTGTTCTCTTTATTCCTATTATAAAATTGTTCTCTCCGCGTCGATTGTTTGCAAACCCTGAGTAGAGTTCCTCTTATTACAGGGTGCCCAATTGCCTGTCGAGTCCTTCCGGCACGCTCTGCCATTCCACAAGGGGTCATTGGAGAATTTCTGTTGCATCAAAAAGCATGATGATCGATCACTGCTACTTTTTACACTTATAAGAAAGAAAAAGGACCAAGGAACTACAAGTTACGCTACAATGTCCACTAAACACCACCAGTTACTGAGCAATCAGCTCATGCGATAACATTGCACGACACTGACCGACGGTACAAACGTTCTACAACTAACTGGCTAACAGCTCTAGCACATCATGGATGCGCACTCCAACAGCCTTCCAAGTTATAGAAATAACATAAGGAGGGGAAGGTGAGCGCAACCAAAATAAGCACGGGCTGAAAGTTTCAGCTGTGAAGGACGTTGGCGGATGTTCATGCATGTCGATGACGATACTGGCAAGACCATAGGACAATACGGTCAGAGCACGATTCAAGGACGCAAAGCAACATTCCACGCAACTTGTGCGGCTCGAAAGATGCGAAGATCAATACAAGGGGAAGCTATGCGAACAAGAATCATGCAAAACCGAACGCCTCGGTAGAACAGCCCTGTACTTCGAATACCGTACTGGCAATATTATGTTGCCCCGTAACGCGTAACGCAGGGGGTGCAGCGTAACGTGCGACCAGGCTAGTGCGACAAATTTTCGTTGCGTTCGTAACGCGCGTCCGGCGGGGTGCGGCGATCTTTTCATTGCAAAAAGGCTGAAAACTGTGAAAGCACGTGTACCGCGTGGTGAAAAATTCAAAACTGGACGCAGCAGGAAGTCCTGCAAAAGCAAAAAAAGGACTGCGGCAAAATAGAAACCTGTGTAACGGCTCCTGTGCGACTTTGCATGTAACGCCCTGCGTGCGGTAAACATGTGCCAATGTAACGCTTCATGGCCTCACTGCGACCATATATATTGCCAGTACGGTATAACAACTTAGATGGACGATAAGCAGCGGTAACAAGCAGCAGTTTCACACGAAGATCGTTTGGCGTATAGATCAGGACTGCTCAATGTTATCGCAGGAGCTGATTGTTTAGTAACTGGTGGTGTTTAGTGGACATTATAGCGTAACTTGTAGTTCCTTGGTACTTTTTCTTTCTTATAAATTCATCCTTGGCTCTCCATCCGAGTCTATTCCTGCACACTTTGTACACTAACCGTGAATAAATAGGTATATTCGATAATGAATTGTTTTACATACATGTATCCTTCATTCTATTCGTGTTCGATATTGAATTTTTTACGAAATTTTTATTCTATTTCTTATTTTTCATTCGTGTTGGGTTTAATTATTCAATGTGCTGATACATCGTGATGATTGTGCTTCGCTTTGCTCGACTAAAATAGGTAAACGTGGCTTAATTAAAGTAGCCGTGGCTAAACAACTCAGTGACGGCGACCCTGGACTCACAGTTATCCAAACGTTTCCAATCCAGTTTCCCAAAGTGATGTGCATTACTTAGGCCCTGGCGGGTAATTGCGGCAGAATTTCGAGCAGAATATGGGTTATTTTTAGAAAAGGAGCAGAATGAGCAGAATTCGGCAGAAAAGTGCAGAAGAAGGAGCAGATACTCTGCAGAACCAGCTACGAAGTGCGGAGAGGGCTGCTGGCGCCTATTTACGGCTCCATTGTGTTCACAAGGCTTACTTCAAGCTCCAACGTAAATCATATTTGCTAACTTTACAATTGATTTTGGTTTTGGTTTGATTTACTTTTTTTTTTAACTTGCCATAATTTACGTGTGCATTTTGCCTTCCTGTTCTTTTTATTCCATGGCTGGTAGCCCTCATTCATTACATTGGTTGACACCATGTCATCCATGAATTGAGAATAATAATAATAATAAAATAATAATAATGTGTGCATGTGTGCTGGTGTATTCGTTCCGGGAGGCATGATACTAGGCATTGGCGGATAATGCTCGAAAAGGTGGCAGATTCTGCTCGAAAAGCAGTAAAATTGGCAGAACCATACAAACCGTATGGCGGGCAATTCCTCGAATTCTGCTCCATTTCTTTATCCACATACCAAACATGCATGAAACTTACCAGAAAAAGTACCGAATTCTGCCAATTTTTCTGCCAGCATTATCCGCAACGGCCTACATGATACCAATTTTATGCATGGTATTCTGCATAATAATTACATAATACAGATTACGATGACGTTTGTATATGACAGGATCAGCTGCCAACTGGCAAGGCTGCATGCTTGCCATCACGCGAACACCTACGTCAGCGAAGAGCTGCCAGTCACATGCCTGTCACCTGTTCTGGTCACTTGCAGTGTCCAGAGGCAAGCTCCACCTCGATTTTAGTCAATAGCACCTCTTCATTGACATGGCTGGCTGGTGGCGCGTGGAACCTGCAGACCTACACGTACTCTACATACATGCACATAGTCATCGTATTACCCATTTCTCACCCACTGCACTGAAGACTGAATCCTGGTATCCTGTGCAGCCCCTAACTCCCCCACACAAATATTCGCGGAGGGCAGACCGCAAGGAGCACGTGCTTCTTCTGCTGGCTCAGGCTATTTCATTCGCAAACGTAACCAAAGCAAAGTTTGCACTCAGAACCAATCCGAGAAGACGTACCCACCGTCCGCCATTTCGCAGTCCTCTGTGGAGAAGCCCAACTTCATTCTCATACAAAAGGTGAGAAGCATATCAAACATCTAGCTCCTGAATGTACCTAAAGTGGCTAATCCTATGTAAAACGTCAAGTTACTGATTTGGTGTTTGCTCTATTATGAAGGGGAAGGGAGTGTTTGAAGTGCATTTGAGCAATTCAACTATTGTGTCCGCCAATTGCATGCCCGTAGACGTCAGCATATGCTGACTCTAACCGGGAAGAGTGGCACCTTGCATGAGATGCATTGCAAATTGCAAGGAATGCCTAAATCATAGGAGTAGGGGCATGTGGATACAATTCAAATGGATGGAGTGCTCAATAGTCAATACACAGGCGGCCGAACACAAAGCGCCGTTGTTTGATGGTCACTCCAGTGCCAGAAACTTTAGTCCAGGTTCGCCTCCAGGGTTTGTATCATAGGTAGGCGAGTTCATGGCTCTTGTCCACTACTGGCCGTAAAACGAATGCACCCCATGTACAATAATTATCACATGTAGATCTACAATTAAGCACAGGACTAATGCTTCGCAAAAATCAGTATGGAAGAAGATATGTATTGAAGAAGATATTCAGGTAGATTCAGGCTGAACAGTCTTTGAATCGATCCGGTCATACAGCTATCTGGTGTCTTTGACTAGCATCCACAATTCCCTCGCGTGGTTTTTTCATTGCATGCACATGTACCGTTCTTCAGGTTCACCTCCGTGGTATAAACTGTGTGGATGTGGGGTGTCTTTATCTGTATTGCGTGCGTGTGGTTGGCTTGTGTGTCCTTGTTTGTGTGCGTGATTGCGTATGAGTGCGTGGGTGCGTTTGATTGCATATACGCCAGTTTGTGTGCGCACGTGTATGTTTCTGTGCAATGCGTGTACATGTGCGTGTGTGCGTGTGTGTGCTTGTGTGTGTTTACATGTGTGGCGCGCTTCTGTGTGTTTTCAGACAACCTAGCAGCCAGAATGCCGACGGAAACCACTGTGCTCGTGGAAACGGAGCCCGCCGCTACCCAAACGGTGCTGGTGTGCCCGTGTTGTGCCAATCCCATCTGTGCGGCGCTCTGCTGCTGGCTGGACTGCCTATGCCAGTGTCTGTGTGCGGCTGCCAGGTAGAACACGGATATCCTGGACATACATGTACATGTAGTATGTCAAAATTTCCCTGGCGATGCTAGATGAAAAGTAATATCTCGTGCTGATGTGAAGGCTGTGTGCATTATACAGAACAATGGAGTAATTTACGCGTATTATCCTTCCAAGCAGAACTCAGTTCACGGTGTCGGTGTTTTCTGTGGCCTAATTTAGGCGAGTAACAAACGTGGTGAAAAGGCTGCCGTTCTCCACAGAACAGGTTTATTTATGTGTTTTAGAGTATATCTGCCCTACACGCACATGGAAAACATTCTATTCAACGCGTGCCAGCACCCCTTGTAATGGTCTGCAGTGATAAAATAAACTGGCTCTTTACTAATCGCTTTTCACTAGCAAAACTGGTGGAATATGCACTTTTTACAACTATAATTTTGCCTCCTCTCTGCTGAGAATTATATTGATGGTTAAAGGAGAATACGATGCCACTTACTGTAGTGAGTACGCTAAGGTTATTATGACACCTCAGATCTTCGGGATTAAATTTTAATAAAAGTGGAAGTACATGTACGTCTACGTGTATTGGTGCTTTGTGTGACATCTGCGTGTCCCCATATCCCAATGAACCCGATTGACATGTTTCATCCGTAGAAAAAAAAGAGAAGAAGACAATGTACAAGGTTAAAAGCCATAGGGTGATGATTTCTTATAATCTGATTCAAAATATGTTGCACTCTGCTTCGAGCATGCCAGTACGAAGCTTTGTAAACGGTATGTAAACACACGTAGAGAGGAAGAAGTACACCTAATTGATGAATATACGTGTAAGGAACGAGTAGTTTCTCTTTTTCACTCCTAGCACTTTCGCACAGAGCAACCTTCATGTAGATGTGTGTTGTGGATACGTGTTCTGGCTAACCTTCCTTTCTTTCTGGTGATCTTTCTCCTGTTCTAATTCACCATTAAAAGCCTATCAAACCGCCTTGTTTGTTGTCTGATTGAAGTCCTTCGACGTAAAACTCGCAGTTACAACAAATAATTCACCGCTATAGGCTATACAGTGGTGCTCGATGAAATCCGATCAAGCGGGTGAATGCCAAATTGCCAAGCCAGGCGCGCGCTGTGCAGCCCTAGACCTGCGAACACTGGGATGCGAACTGATGCAGGGCGCAAACTGTTACTACTAGTACTTGATTCACGAGATCGGATTTCGTTGCGCAGCACTGTAGTTTGTACTCATTCTAAGACTAAGAGCTGTTCTGCAAGTGACCTGTAACATCAGTGCGCGTTGAGCACTACTGCTGGATGCTACAGCGAATCACGTGTGTGAGCCTACATACATTATACAATACAACAGTGTCACGTTAAATAATTCCTCACACCATACTGTGCGTATCATCAGCATTGTGTTTTGCAGCTTTAACAGCTGAGAACCCTACCTACACACACCGTCTCCATAGCAATTGGTCTCTTCACTGCAAGTTACTAAATAAAAATGATTTTCTCAAAATAATTTTGGGCCAGGATCACCCATGATCAGGAATTCAGGATTGAGGAGACTGAGAACAACCACAAGTGCGGTGGACCTGTATCATGCAACACAAGGCGGAATGAAACTACTTATACCACACACATTGTACGTGATAAAAGTACACCGTTCTTGAGGCACATGCACAGACACACACAAACACACACACACACACACGCACACACTAGCACTAACGCTCACGTTCACACATGCTGACATTCACAATCACACCCACACTCACCCGTGTGCAAAACAGACAAAAAAGAACAACAATAACAACATGAGGGGAAAAGGTTTACAAGTTATCCCGTGTTTTCAACAATTTCAACACACGGTCCAAAACTACTTCAAGTAACAATTATAAGCAAGATACTGGTGAGTCAGACCGTCCAACAATTCACACCGAGTGATGAGATGCTGACATTCAGCGACCTGATGATTAGGTCCAGTACGTCTTGGAATGCCCAAACCGACAGCCTGCCAACTTGGAAGGTGATTAGTTAGGAGCTAGTAAGGAGCTATCGTAAGATAGGGTGGGGGGGGGGGTGAGCGCACTCAAGACGCCGAAAAGAAGCTAAACATCACAGCGAAATAGGAATGTTAGCTGTGACAAGATGAAGACGAAGGACCACGGTATAGGACAGCCATGCCTCACTTCAAGAACGCGAAGCAACGACGACCCAACTTCGGAGGCTCATATTACATGACTGTATAGGAGATAAGTAGGGCTGAAACGATCGTGGATTTTCATGTATCGATTACTCTTTTTTAACGATCGAGTAATCGATTATAATCGTTAGCAAATAGAGTCATAATTCTGTGCAAACATTACTCTGTTTCCACAAACTATGCCTTCATGATACCAACAAATCTGCATTAGTGAAAGGGTAGCTCCGAAACATGGCAGTTTTGAAGTCAATTTAACCTCAGAACATGAACCATACCCCTGGCAACTGCATACTCCCAGCGGAAACTGATTCAAACTTCACAAAACGAGGGTTTACAGTACTTTCTGGACACAAATTTAAAAAACGCAAAATAATCGTAATTGGTAATCTAAACGATTGCTCGATCGTTAGAGTTATCAAACGAGTACTCGATTATTCGGTATAATCGTTTCAGTCCTAGAGATAAGAGATAGTGCCGTCTGATCTGTCTTGCTGCGTATTCGCGTAACTTCCCCAGTTTGTTTACAAACAAAACTTCGAACATCGGACCCCCCCCCCCCCTTTCATGACTTGGTGCAGCCACTGCCATGTCAATCCATTTTTGTATAATCAGATACCTGAGCCCGAGGTAGGGTCAAACGACAAGGGCTCGGACTCATCCGGCCAGAGACCTTTCTCTGCTTCAGCGAGCAGTTCACTGAAACTCGGTGTCTGGCTGATGGGACTAATAGCATCCGTCAGGTACGGATCATAACTGAGCATGTTTGACTGAAGCTCATAATAGGCCGTATCCGCAGCCATTACAAGCTGATCTACTTGACGTACTGTTGTGGACATGGAAATCCGGTCGCACGTCTAGCGGCCCCAGGGCGCTGGCCATGCAGCCGTGGACAAGCTGTACACCCATGCCGCTGCAGCGCGCTCGTCGCAACGGATCAACATGTGCACTGCACGCAGCGTTCTGTACGCGCGCTGAGGGCGCCGGCCCTGGTCAATCGACTGGATTTCCATGTCCGCTACAGTAGAAGAAGTTTACTAATGTCGACGCCACATAAGACCGCTTGTTCGACCATGTTCGATTGGGAATAAAGGAGGAACGCTGCATCGCAGCCTTTTCGGACCAAAACTAGTCGACTCAGCGTCCAAAAGACTACAACATATGGGCCAATAGCGGTCATCCGTGCTTTTATAAGAACGAAACGGCGCTTTTAGTGACATTTTGCATACAAATCCCCATCTAGTAGGGCGTAGTCACTAGTCACCCAGTTTCGGTGGAAGTGCGCGAGTTCGATTGGGATTAAAGTAGGAAGGGAGCGTCTCAGCTTTCTCGGACCAAGACCATTCGACTCAGCACCCCGAAGACTACAGCTGGTGAAATTTTGATTTTAGCCTTAACTTCCCCTTTAACAATACTAATTTCTTTCCTGCCCCCCCCCCCCCATGTGTGTGAGGTGTTGCGGGGAAAGATTACGCCCCTCCGAAGGTGCCAGTGCCAGTGCTCGAGTCAGGAGTGGAACAGGTGTAGCGAGTCGTGGACTGACACACCCTTGAACGGAGTCGTACCCGAGTTTGGGGACTTCCCAAACTCGAGTACGACTCCGTACAAGGGTGTGTCAGTCCACGATCGGGTGATCTTCCACGCAACAGACACCATCGTTCCACGGGTGAATGGTGTGCACGATCACGTCTTCTCCGGCAGCCGGTAGAACTAGACGCACTCTGGGTACGTGAGAACTCGTACATCGCGCATAATGTCAATAGTACATTGACCAATTCTGAAGGCGTAAACTGCGCATTCGCTCTTACAGATAATCAGCCCAGTTCCGAACAGGATGCACATGTGTACTATGCCACTGTCCAAAGTATTCCCCACAACCTACATGGAGGCGCTCGAGACCAGACTGGCCTGTGAATTGTGACCTGAACAAGATATGGCGAGAGCGGATATTACCCTTGAACTCCCGTACACGAAGATCTATACCGCCCTATTTGGTTTTATTCCTTCCTTGCAGAAGGCACCGTCTGTTCGGGGTAGACTGAAATAGTTTAGATACAACTGACGTTCTACCATCCTATCGATGGTACGCGATTTGGTATCACTCCGTGAAGGATTCGATCACGTGAAAGCAAAAGACAGTTGGTCACAGCCATGTGACATATTATTAAAGGGGAAGTATACCCTAAAATCAAATTTTCACCAGTTGTAGTCTTCGGGGTGCTGAGTCGAATGGTCTTGGTCCGAGGAAGCTGAGACGCTCCCTTCCTACTTGAATCCCAATCGAACTCGCGCACTTCCACCGAAACTGGGTGACTGCGCCCTACTAGATGGGGATTTGTATGCAAAATGTCACTAAAAGCGCCATTTCGTTCTTATAAAAGCACGGATGACCGCGATTGGCCCATATGTTGTAGTCTTTTGGACGCTGAGTCGACTGGTTTTGGTCCGAAAAGGCTGCGATGCAGCGTTCCTCCTTTATTCCCAATCGAACATGGTTGAACAAGCGGTCACGTGCTCCTGCGTACGCCAGTCACCTGGTCACCGTGCCTGCAGGGTACAACTTACTAGCCTGTTTGACCTTTTTTGGGTGCAGTCCTGTCACTCGAGTTGAACTCGAGTTGAACCTTGGTGTGAAAGTTCTCGCCTGCTGGCGCGGTGACCAGGTGATTTGGGCACCCAGGAGCACGTGACCGCTTGTTCAACCATGTTCGATTGGGAATAAAGGAGGAACGCTGCATCGCAGCCTTTTCGGACCAAAACCAGTCGACTCAGCGTCCAAAAGACTACAACATATGGGCCAATCGCGGTCATCCGTGCTTTTATAAGAACGAAATGGCGCTTTTAGTGACATTTTGCATACAAATCCCCATCTAGTAGGGCGCAGTCACCCAGTTTCGGTGGAAGTGCGCGAGTTCGATTGGGATTCAAGTAGGAAGGGAGCGTCGCAGCTTCCTCGGACCAAGACCATTCGACTCAGCACCCAGAAGACTACAACTGGTGAAAATTTGATTTTAGGGTATACTTCCCCTTTAAAGGGGAAGTTAAGGCAAAAATTAAAATTTCACCAGTTGTTGTCTTCGGGGTGCTGAGTCGAATGGTCGTGGTCCGAGGAAGCTGAGACGCTCCCTTCCTACTTGAATCCCAATCGAACTCGCGCACTTCCACCGAAACTGGGTGACTGCGCCCTACTAGATGGGGATTTGTATGCAAAATGTCACTAAAAGCGCCATTTCGTTCTTATAAAAGCACGGATGACCGCGATTGGCCCATATGTTGTAGTCTTTTGGACGCTGAGTCGACTGGTTTTGGTCCGAAAAGGCTGCGATGCGGCGTTCCTCCTTTATTCCCAATCGAACATGGTTGAAGAAGCTGTCACGTGCTCCTGCGTACACCAGTCACCTGGTCACCGTGCCTGCAGGGTACAACTTACTAGCCTGTTTGACCTTTTTTGGGTGCAGTCCTGTCACTCGAGTTGAACTCGAGTTGAACCTTCGTGTGAAAGTTGTCACCTGCTGGCGTGGTGCCCAGGTGATTTGGGCACCCAGGACCACGTGACCGCTTCTTCAACCATGTTCGATTGGGAATAAAGGAGGAACGCTGCATCGCAGCCTTTTCGGACCAAAACTAGTCGACTCAGCGTCCAAAAGACTACAACATATGGGTCAATCGCGGTCATCCGTGCTTTTATAAGAACGAAACGGCGCTTTTAGTGACATTTTGCATACAAATCCCCATCTAGTAGGGCGCAGTCACCCAGTTTCGGTGGAAGTGCGCGAGTTCGATTGGGATTCAAGTAGGAAGGGAGCGTCTCAGCTTCCTCGGACCAAGACCATTCGACTCAGCACCCCGAAGACTACAACTGGTGAAATTTTAATTTTTGCCTTAACTTCCCCTTTAAGGTCATGTCCGATGAGAAGCCCTGCCAACACCGGCAACAGCCAGCCATCCTCAGTCGACCAGGACCAAGTCGTACAGAATGCACGAGCCTGTCATCGAGGAGACAGTTTAGTCGGTTTGCTGACGTGAATGTTGCACATCGACCATTGTTTGTGCTTTGCTGTACCATCATCATGTCATTCATGATCATCCACACGTGAGATTCGCTGTCGATTAGCACATCACTCAGAGGTTCCAAAACTGACTCACGACCTTGGCAAGACCACTCGTGACAGTGCGAGAGGCGACCTTCGAGTTCGAGCTTCAAACTGAAAATAATTGGACCATGTGCCTCGCGGTTTCAGAATCAGCACAATCTAGGTACAGGTATCCGCGTAGTTTAGCATTCTGGGCTCTCTGAACAGGAAAGATTAGAAAGCAAGTCGGTTATAACGACGGACAAGGAGAAAGGAGTCTCCATTTAGAGAATACTGTAGCGTGCTGAGGCCACGATGAATTCTCCTCTATTCTGCGCGCTGCTTTTGATGCTGCTGTTATGCCTAGCCAAAGGACAAACGGCAGAGCCACCCTTTCCCGATCTACCTGCATCATTTGTTACCGACGTGGAAGCCAATATTCTGAATCGAGGCTACACCACTCAGATAAAGTTTGTCTTCGACTCGGCGAGGGATCGTGCCCGTATGGACACTTCGCGTAACGGCACTCGATACGTAATAGTGGATGACATCAAGAATGGCGTCCAGTACCGAACGAGCTTATCGAGTCGGACGTGCCAAGCCAGAAACTACACTCTCCGAGACCGACTGGAGACACTCGGATCTGACGGACAGCCACATCTGATCAGCGTGAATGATTTCTTCCGATTCGGCAAAGCCTATCATGAGAAGTACGTCGGTGCTGCGACGGTGCGAGGAATAGTTTGCGACCAGTACATGGGAAATTACACGAACACAACGAACGGTGGGTATGTGAGCTACGTGATGCAATGGTACTTCGCACGACAGACCAACTGGACAATGCCGGGAGTCGATGGCATGACGGCAATTCCAGTCCGCCTGGATCTGATTGGCGTGTCGAACTTCACTTTTGGCCGACCCAGCGGCAACACGACAACCAATGCCAATGCCTCACAGGGAACACGGCTCCACAACTTCCACCACTTGTACGAGTTCACGAATTTACTGCCGAATGAGCAAGCAGCGGAGCAGTTTCTGACGACCAACTTTAACCCACCTGACGGTATTTTATGTACTGGCCTTCCTACCACTGAAGACCTGCCCACCTTGCCCAACCAGTTCTCCTTCACGTCGTATGCCATAGCATTCACTGATAGTCCAACCACATTTGCGTCTGGGGTGAGTCCTCCTATCCCCCCTGCAATCAAATCCTTTCCACTGTCTACATTGAACGGTGTTTGGGTAGGACTCCCTGATGTATTATATAGATGTACAAAGGCAGAAGAGAACAGAGGCAACCGGCTAGGTCATTGTTGTAACATCTCAGTTGTCCCAGGATTGCCTTAGCTTTGCTATGCGCATGAAACGCAGCGTTTCAACAATGGCCTAGCCGGTTGTCTCTGTTCTCTTCTGCATTTGTAGTAATGCTCCATCCTTGTGGTGTTGAGCACTCTAGGTAATCGGGGAACTCTGGTTATTGTGCATATTATGTAGATGAACAATAGTATTCCGTAGCACGGGGAAGATCCTGTAATCCCTCTTCACCGAAGGCCTTCACCTGTGCAGGCCCACCAAAGAATTACGATGCATTGTGAATATAATTTGAACTCAGAGGCCGAGCCATTTAAACATGTACATGACTGTATTTGTGAAGAGAAAAATAACTACTTGTACTTCAAGTACAGTGCTGGCAACTGAAATCCGACCCCTGAGCATCGTAACACTACGAAATAGAGGCCGCTAGAAAGTGAACGCCCAGGGGGTCGGATTTCAGTTGCCGGCACTGTATATCGCATAGAAAAAAATAAAATAAATGTACTTCAAGAAGAAAGGAGGACCAAGAGCTACAAGTTACGCTACAGTATCCACTAACACCACCAGTCACGCTACAATCAGCTTATGTTATTTCTGTAACTTAGAACCTTCCAAGTCTCGCAGCAACGAAGAAAGTTGAGCGCTTTGGGATACTGAGCAGATCGGTAACACCATTGGACATCACAATCAAACTTACTCAAAGCAGCATGCTGCCCAACTGGGGTTGCTTGGAATTGTGAAAGAAAATTATACAAAGTAAAATGGACCAAGGAACTACAAGTTACACTATAATGTCCACTAACACCACCAGTTACTAAACAATCAGCTCATGATAAAAGGATAGAGCCGTTTAAAAGAATCAGGCACGGGTGGTTTGTGATAACCTCCTTGGATCCAGATTGTTTGATTCAGAAGACCAAATGCTCTGACAGCTTCATCTTCATCTGGACTTCCATAAGAACAAAGTGATCGTTATATTTTCAGTCAAACTGGCTATCTCCCACTGTTCTCTCTCTTCCCTTTCAGTGGAGTTGCGCATGCTTTAATGTAGCTGATTTAGGAACATGTTGCGAACAGAGCATCCCAACTTCCTCGGACCAATGCCATTTGGTCCAGTGTTCCTGAAAAGTACACGTACAAGTACATGTACCTCTGATAAATTGATTTCAGGCTGACCTTCTCCTTCAATAACCTCTGGATCTTTGCAATGCTTGTTCTGTCTGTACCTGCAGTATGCTTATGATGCGCTGCGAGGGGAAACCTCCGTGTTTTATGACGTGGAGATTGTTGGCAATGGCACCAACCTGACGGGAACGACCTTCGGTGGCCGGCATCACCTCGTTCATAATTTCCGCCAGGGAACGCAGTACAACATCACCCACCAGGGCTGTACGATGCAGTCGCTCGCAAGCCTGGCGAACACGCGAGGAGCGTTTGACATCTCTGTACTCAACGGCCATGCAACACTCAACTCTGCCAACAAGCTGTTTCAGTTCTCTGCTGCCTACAACTTCTCCTACCAAGGACACCGAGATGTTTTCGGCTACCCAACTCAACTCTGGTCCAGTAAGCTGCTAGAGTAACCATGGTAACACCAGGCACCAACGAACATTCAAGCTTGAAAGTCACAAAAATGTTGTAAAAGAATGTGGAAGGCTGGAAAGGAAGATTTAGGAACCCTGTTGTGTTTTTCACGTTACACTGTAGTTGCATGTCTAACGTACCTGTACTTTGTGATTGTTTGAGCCCAGAAAAAAACAAAAACGCTGGAATTTTGAAAGTAAGAGCGTCACCAGCCTAGCTGAAGCGGAGACGCTGTTCTTTGGCACTCGATGTTACTTTAATGCGATATATACATGTACATGTGCCGGTATATTGCCTTGCTGAACTGCGACGTGTCTAAATTTTAACAGCTCAGTGAATGACCCAAAGCATCGATGGCGTACAGGGCAAGTGCAATTTCGCTTCACGTCCCAGAAAATGATGAGACTGTAGGGTTTCCAAACCTGAACCGAATTCAGGCTTGAAACCTGTTTTCCAATCAGCCAGAAATGAGGTTTAGATGCAACCTAATACCATATTGGGTGACATAGCAACTGCACGGGTTTTGTGTAACCTGGCTGTGCTGTATGAATATCCTCCATCTTGGGCCTTTCCAACCCCACGTATCAATGGGAAAATCCCAGTGATTCTGAAAGGATTTCCCAGATTATTTTTTGGAAAGCATCAAGTTGAACTAATGGATGGTGAGCCAGTAGTGATCATGGATAGAGGAACGTTCAGCACTTGTCCATCATCATTATCGTCATCAAAGAGGAAAGGGGGGGGGGGGGTAGGTGTGAGGTCAAGGACTGTCTCAGCACCCCCTTGTCAGTTTTGTGTCAAGTTATCACACTATCCGACCGTATACGGTCAGGTTAAATTTGTGGATCATTAGACATAACTAGGATGAAAATGGCCGTCCTCTTATCCATGAGATCAGTGTCTGTGAAGATTTCATAAATAATCAACTGTCATCACTTTAGCTTGCAATTCAAATTACCAGTACTTGCTTGCCTGACTGACGCTTAAACCATTGTCGATCTACATGTATGTTGTGTAGGGAACATGTGTGCTGGTGATATATTTGCATGTTTAAACGTGTCCTCCTCTTTGTTTACCCCACGTTACACTCACAGCTTTGCGTACTGATGTCCCACTGGATCCGTCACTGCCTGCCAACCAGACCACCCTGTGGGAGTACTACTTCAGCCTGCCCTCGTGGAAGATGAACACCTTCAACGGACTACTTACAAGCACCAGAGTGAGTTAGTGGACCAGTGAGACATATGCACTCAGTACATATCTGGCACATTCAGGGGCGTCAGAAATGGTGCGGCGGGTGCTGCCAAAGCCACACTAATTATCTTGTGATCTTTATAAGCAATGAAATATGGGCTATTTGGACCCAATTTTCCCGAAATTTTCCCAGTGAGCCCCCCCCCCCCTCCTGCCTTTTCATTGTCTCACCAATGTAGAATACATTTCAATGCCCCTGCATACAGGGATGAAGCGAACACTAGTACTAGTATACTGGAGATTGGGCTACGGGCTTGTTAAGAGTACCCAAGCAAATGCTAGAAAATACCAATCCTTGCTCAATGTTTTGGCGGACTACAGTTTACAGCACCCCATCACCTCGACCTCACCAGAGATGGAAAATGTACAGTAGAACTCTGTTCCCAGCATGATGAACACCTTGCCAGGCCGCAGAGGTAGCAGTTCGAGTAAGTGTTGCCCATGGCCGGAATGGTGGGACACACAGATGCGGCTAAAATCCATCCTCCATGTCGCGAACAGCCTACATTTTAATTTGTTGTCAGCGAAGTCGCTTCTTCTAAGATCATACTTGTATAACACTTTTTTATGAGAAATATACTTCAATCTTCAGTAGTGAGGCCAATAGGTAACCAAGCCAAGTTTAAAGTGTGTTCATCCTAACTTTATTGTGGACGTACTGTATTCATTATGTCGTACACTAATGTCTATGTGAGGGCGCCAGCTAGTTCGGTTGGTGGGTACACGTATGCCAGATAGCGCTGGGTCTGTTGCCAATGGGCTCGGCTGCTTGAATGTGTGATGTTGTACCTGCCACCTTTGTTAGTGTCAGGGTTCATATTTTCAATTTGAAGTATACATGCCTGCTAACCATGGACTACTTCTGGCTAGAGTAATTACTGCGTAATCAATGGTGCTAGTGAAGCTAATCAGAACCACTCTGATTTAGCCTCCCACACTAGTAGCAAGTATTGCCTTAACCGGGGGCAGGGGTAACTGCAGTTGGGTCTAGGGACAGATACCCTGAGGCCATCATTCCATTTTCTGCACCTTGTTCTCACTCACTTACTGAGGTGTGCGATGAGTCCATAAGTGGGATCATTTCCAAATCCACCAATACTTTGAGGATTTCAGGGTGTGTCGGCCATTGGGCGGTTCAATAGCCAATTGAATCATATTTGCAAGATTCCTTTTGAGTCTCTCTCCATTCTCCCATGGGGAGACCTACGTGACCAGCTTTGGCAGGGAACAAGTACAAGTACATGTGCGAGTGCACAGTGCACTCCTCGGCTGTTCTTGTTATCGAACTGATGGTTGCTGTTTTGTCTTGGTACGTATGGACATGTCTTTCGTGGCGTAGATTCCAATTGAGATGCGAGGTTTCAGTTTGGACTCCAAGCTACACAGGCCATACGTTTCGGTGATATCAGGCTTCTCTGTTGGACCACCTTTTGGGTTTGCGTTTGACACGACAAGCTGCTTCAAACCAACTGAGCAGTCAACTGTGATGTTCTCCCTTAACACTCCGTTCAATGACTCGTACGCAGTGCAGGGTGCAATCAGGGATGCTCTCTCCACTACTCTCGGGCTCCAGACGGATCGCTTCCATACCTCGGTGAGTTCCCACAACCTCACAAGCTGGTGATGATGTACCGAGCCTGACAATGGCCGTAAGACTTAGTGATGTGGATGTCAAAAGCTGAACCTATTCATGGACTTGGAATGACTGCAGCACTCCCGTTTTACCTTCATTGTACCAGTACTGTATGCACCTACAATTGTATTTGGCTCACACTCGTTTGGCATGCTATGGCTCACATTTATGATTAATACCAAGAGTGGTAGTGGCCTGGCGCGAGCGAAACTTCTTTTAGCTGGTTTTGTTCCTCAACACAAATTTAAGCCGGTGGTAACGCGGATGTGCGAATTTCACTTTAAAAACTCACTCACATAACCAACAAGAGTGTGTAACCCCAAGTACCCAGTCTACGACGGCAGAAGTTCACATCACGTGGCAAACCCATACAAGTACACATTAGTTACACTCTGTGCATGATAGATACAGGGCTGTACACTTTCCTGCTTTGGGTTCAACTTTCTTGTGATCACTTCGCACTATTTGTGAATGTAACCTTTCGAACCATGTCACGTGATGTGAAATTCTTCCGTCGCAGCACTCCACAGAGATTGCGCAGGCAGTTGCACATTATAACGTGTGTGTCTGTGTGTCTGTGTGGATGTGTGTGTGTGTACATGTGCGCATGCATGTTTACATAATTATGTGCATGCGTCTGTTTGTACGTGTATGCGTATGTATTGTACATGCATGTGCGTGTGCTTGCTTCCATGTGTGTGGTTGATCTCTTAGACGTTTCCTGGTGCTGATAACCTGCTCAACGTGGTGGTTACCATCAAGGGCTTGCCCAGCGTTGGAGACCCATCCCTGCTGGCCCAACTTCCCACACTGCAAACAGCCCAGAAGAAGCTACGTAAAGCGATCAAGGGTGGAACGTTCACGGTATCGCTTCCAAACGCTGCCGGCACTGTGAAGGCCAAGAGCAGTTCGTACACGTCATCCAGTGAGTCAGCATCTGCCCAGTATTCTCCCGGTGAGATGGCTGGTCTCGGCATAGGTATTCTCATTCTTGGATGTATTATCGGAGGACTCATCATGTTCCTTGTGCAGCGGCACAGGAACAGCAGTGTACCGTATTCTATCAGCAAGGATTAGAAAGTTCGTAGCTGCATTTTGTTTGGCTGTGAGCACCACCATTTCTTTGTTACTACCTGTCCACAGTGAGCCGCAAAGCAGCATAGTGGGATACCCGCACCACTGAGTAATGGCCACACAGTCCATGTGCCCCCCTGGGTGCTCTTTCAAAGACTTGTTAACCGGATTGTGGATGCTTGATCCAATGAGTGAACTATCAATCCTGGATTACACTTTTTTCTTTTAGACTATTTTCTTCTTTTTTTCCACTGAGAGTAGGGATGGCATAATTATGGTCCCTTGTTGAAAAGTCACTTTGAAGCGGGAATAGATTCTGAAGATGTAACTGTACTTCACCTAACTTACAAGTAGGGTATTGAGCACAGTGGAAGAAGAAATATTTATTTACTACCTACGGAGCCGGCTGCATCAGGGAAAGACTTTTATGTGAATGTGATTCTGCGTCTGTTGCTGCTGGTGGATTGGTGTTCTTCGCAATCGCAATATTTTGATCTCATTTCTTTCGTTTTTCTTGAAATGGCTGGTTAGTCCCCACGTCACAGATTTTGCTTGTCTTGGCTAGCGCTCTGTGGCCTTTTAAATTGTGAGTATAACCACGTCATCATTTGAGATGCTTTGTGTGGAGTGGAACATTGCAAAGTGGTGGCGCCGTGGCGTGCAGGCATTGTTTTGTCGCTCAATACAAAATGTGCCACTCAAATCTCATCACTGTCTACTACTAGTTTCACTCAATACTAGCACTGGTTTCCACTCATATGTGCCACATGTACAGTGACTGAGACGTCATCATAAAAGCATAGCATACTTAGTAACCATGAAGGCATAACATTAACAAGATATGGGTGCTGTAAGTGTTGGCAGTGCAAAATTTCGGCATTTCACGATTTTCGACTTTTCCAGTACATCCTGTCACCAAAGCGGATATGAAAAATTTCATCAGCGTTCTAGTTTCGGCATTTTGGGTCGGTGCCGAAATTAATTAGATGCCGGAATTTTGCATTCAAAGTAATGATCGCCGGCTGTAGGATTGCGCATTGCCCTTACCGTATTTTTCGGAGTATAGTGCGCACCTTTGTATAACGCGCACTCCCAGTCTTCATTGGGGGTGCGCTCTTCAATCTTCATTGAAGTTCATGCATTTCATATTCGGAGCATAGTGCGCACCTGCGATTTAGGGCCTAAAATAGCACATCTAAAGTGCGCACTATACTCCGGAAAATACGGTACATGTCCAGAGAGCACACAGGTTTAGGTTACAGCCTGTGGAGTATTGCTTTCATTCATCCTTTGTCCTTCTACCTACTTCATGGGCGCTGCTCTGAATCCACTTCGGCGACGGGGGTATCCCTCTAGCTCTGGTGAAGTGTAGATCACGTGAAATCAGAAAACAAACTGACAGTCATTGTCCTGTGACATCTAAATAATAATAATTGTTTATGCCTTTATGGTCACAGTACTGTTGCCGTGTTGGATCGGGAACACGAGACAATGTCATGTAGATCTACATAGTGTCATTAGGCAATCATATCCATGCATGCCCGTAGGCCTGCATGTGCGCACATGCTGATGGGAGGCCTCAGGCTCAGGCCAGTCAGGGCTACATGTATGATGTAGGCGTCACCTGGTTCACGGTGTTTCGTTTGGCTTTTTGAACCATCCCGTGATCAACCCTCACTCTAATGGAATGTTCACTTCATGATTATCACTCCAAGGACAAGGTCCCTCGACCCCGCCGGCGCCACTGGTGGGAAAACCAGCACCTTTTTTTTGTGTACATGTACATGAACTTCCATAGCATTTGTTTCCATATCGTCGTTACTTACTTGTTTTACACAGCGTAAACCATGGTGTCAGAACTTGCACAGACTAGATACGGACGTTCTAGCCTTTGCCTTGGGCTCTCCGAACAGGAAATATGGCATTAGTCTGTTGCATCGACGAAGAAGAGGAAAGGAACCGCATTTCCAGAAGATTGTAGGGTACCAAGACCACGATGAGTTCTCCTGTATTCTGCGCGCTGCTTTTGATGCTGCTGCTGTGCCTAGCCAAGGCGAAACGCCAGAGCCACCCTTTCCCGATCTACCTGCATCGTTTGTTACCGAAGTGGAAACCAATATCTGAATCGAGACCTCGGCCTCACCACCCAGGTAAAATTCATTTTCGACTCGGCAAGAGATCGTGCCCGCATGGACAATGTGCGGCGCGGCAGTCGACACGTCACAGTCGATGATTACCAAGAATAGTGTGCAGTACAGAACGAGCCCCTCGAGTCGGACGTGCCGAGGCAGAAACTACACTCTCCGAGGCCGACTGGAGACATCCGGATCCGACGGACAGCCATATGATCTGATCAGCGTGAATGATTTCTTTCTATTCGGAAAAGCCTATCATGAGAAATATGTCGGCGTGGCGACAGTCGGAGGAATAGTTTGCGATCAGTACACGGGCACAACGAACGGTAGGTGCACAAGCTAAGTTATGCAATGGTACTTCGCCAAGCAAAGCAACTGGACAATGCCAGGAAATAATGCCAACAGCCAGTCCGCCTGGACTTGGTCGGAGTGTCAAACTAGTTACTTCACCTTCCGTCGGCCTGCCAGAACGGGCAACGGCACGATAACCACGCAGGAAACGACTACGTTGGTTCACAACTTCCACCACGTGTACGAGTTCACGAGTTTTCTACCAAATGAGCAAGCAGCGGAGCAGTTCCTGACGACCAACTTCAACCCACCTGACGGTATTTTATGTACTGGCTACTGAAGATCTGCCCAAATTGCCGGACCAGTTCTCGTCGTCGTTCACTACAGCATCCACAGATAGTCCAACCACATTTGCATCTGAGGTGAGTCCACCTCTCCTCCTCCTCCCTCGACCCCCTCCCCCCCCCCCCCCCACCCCCTCCACACACACACACACACACACACACACACACACACACACACACACACACACACACACACACACACACACACACACACACTCCGCCATCCTTCAATCAAATAGTCTATCGTTTTGATAGAAGATAATGGTCTTGGAACTATAACACACACACACACACACACACACACACACACACGCATGCGCGTGCGCACGCACACACACAGTTTTTGGACGGACAACTCCCGACACATCAACATCTCCTGGCACAACAAAAGGCACAGTAGTTAATTAAAATTCATACTATTATTACAAAAATATTTGGATGAGACCTGACCGGTTTCTGCACATAGAGTGCTTCATCAGAGGAATGAAAAATGTTGTCTCTGACTATAGCTTATATACACAGCAAAAGAAATCAACATATGCAGTAAAAGATGCGATAGATGCTATGCAGTTGCAATCATAGGGGTGACTGGCAACAAATGCAGTAAAAGGTGCAATAGGTGCAATGCAGTTGCAACCATCGAGGTGTCTAGCAACAAATGCTGTTGAGAGCGAAAAAAGCGCAATGGGTCTGCCAATCTCACTGCTTTTTTAGCACAATCCCCCATTTTTTCCAGCGTTATCCGCCAAGGGCTAGCTGAGATGGCAGCTTCTTCGAAGTACACCATAGCTCAGTGGTTTGAACACCGCTTAAGGCCCCTGGCTCGAGTCCAGGTGGTAAGAGTCAAGTTTTCTTCAACTTTTGCCCCTTTTCAGCACCCTTAACTAATAAATATTTGATAGATTTGGTAGGGTCAGAACTTAATAATAATAATCCCTGGACCTGTGAAATGTTCATTCTGTCTATAATATGCAGTATGCTTATGATGTGATCCGAGGGGAAACACCAGTCCTGTGCTATATTACCTGGAGATTGTTGGCAATGGCACCAACCTAACGGGAACGACTTTCGGTGGCCGGCATGGCGGCATCATCTCTTTCACAATTTCCGCCAGGGGACGCAGTACAACATCACCCACCAGGGCTGTACAATGCAATCACTCGCAAGCCTGGCAAGCGCGCGGTCGTCGTTTGACATCTCCGTGCTCAACAATCATGCAACCCTGAGTTCTGCCAATGAGTTTTTTCCAGTTCTCACCTAGCTACAACTTCTCCTACTAAGGGCACCGAGATATCTTTGGATACCCTACTCAGCTCTAGTCCAGTAAGATACTCTCATTATTATGACGTTTCTGTTTATCTTACAAGATCGGGCAGGCATTAACAGTGATTCAAGTTGGGAAGCAAGATTGAAGTTCCAGCCAATGTTTCTTACGGTTTGTCCTTCCTTAAGGAAAAACCGTAGGAAATGTTTGTTAGATCTTCAATCCTGCTTCCCAACGTTTGAATCATGTTGAATCACGTGAATCATGTAGAATGTTTGTGCTAGTGCAATGATGGATTGCAGTACAAGTACATGAAATGTAATTGAATGACACCACACATGCATTCTATGCATCTACCTCTGCACTGCAGTGCTAATAATTGATTTGTGGTCCGAATACGGTATTTAAGCGGTATGAAGTTTAACACTTCGAATATACAGTATGGATGAAAAGGAGAACGGACAAGGAGCACTGGGACATTCAGACATGCAGGGACCTGACACCTAGCTCCAACGCTTCTCCGAGGCGCAAACCAACAACCTTCCAACTTGGAAGGGTCAGGTTAGGAAAGGTCCAAGAGGGTGAGGAAAGCACAATGAAGAAGAGCACAAGCTACGTCCCACGGCAACAAAGAATGTCGGAAGCTGGATGATGACGAAACTAGTAAGACTTCTGGACATAACTGATGATCTACCATGACCTATACGGCGAAACGTGCATCGTGTGGAACTACTTGTTGTTGTGTTATTGTACATAACTAGTCCATCATATTTACATCACAGTGGAGTTCAGTAGGATGTTGGCATTTCGGTTTGTCACAATTCGTCTTCGCTTAGCTTCCCCTTTCTATGTTTATTACATAAACTTGAGCCTCCCAAGTTGGGTGGTCTGTTGCTTTGCGTCGTCGAGTTGTAGTGAGACCGGTATGTCCAGCAGTCTTACAAGTTTCCTCGTTATCCAGCAACTTTCGGCATTCTTTGTTGCCGTGGGACATAGCTTGTGCTCTTCTTCGTCACGCTTTCCTCCCCCTCTTGGACTTTCCTAACCTGAGCCTTCCAAGTTGGAAGGATGTTGGTTTGCGCCTCGGAGAAGTGTTGGAGCTAGGTGTCAGGTCGTTGAATGTCTGAATGTCTCGGTACTCCTCCGCGATGCAATCAAGGGCGGAAAGTTCACTGTATCGCGGCCAAACGCTGCCGGCACAGTGCAAGCCAAGAGCAGTTCGTACACGTCATGCAGTGAGCCCCCATCTACCAAGCATTCTCCCCCGGTGAGATGGCTGGTCTCGGCATGGGTATTCTCGTTCTCGGATGCATTGTCGGAGGACTCGTTGTATTCCTTGTGCAGTGATGCAGGAACAGTAGTGTACCGTATTCTGTCAGCAAGAATCAGAGAGTACGTGCACCGACAGGTTCAGTCTCTCCTGGCGCATGGCTATGTGAGGGAAAGAGTGAGCTGCAGAGTGTGTGAGAGGATGTGCTGGTACGAGTATATAGAGTCACATTAGAGTGAAATCTGTGGCATCTTTGAATTGGTTGTCCCGCAACAACAGGCTCCAAGTTTCGTGATATCAGCCCACAGTAGTCCAGCCCTGTTTTTCAACAACATTAGCATAGTGGCCTGGTGATCTGGCCTGCCATGAGTCAGTCAGCTTACTCAGCAGGTGGGTATGTGATGACGATGGCGGGGGGGGGGGGGGGGGGGGGCATTTGTACATCACTGACTGGTAGGGGTGAAACGAGTACCTATTTTGACCAATCGATCATTCATTCATAATATTCGATCGAGTATCCGATTATTTCGATTATATTATCACAATTCAAAAGGGCTAGATTTGTGAGTTCTCGACCAATTCTGGAAGAAATTATCTGTGAACATAGAACTAAAGTCGCCAACGCCTTGTACAGAGTGTAAAGTAACGATTTTCATGGACTACTACATAGAATGGATGAGAACAACAACAACTGCACGAGAACATAGGGGGCTGCAAAGGGCGTGCACATGTAGGTGCTATAAAGCTGTGCCGGTGAGGTGAAGTGCGCTCCCCCGACCATTGGTCTTGAGATCAAGGCGCAAAGCATGTACAATGTTTGTGTTACTGCTCTACTTTCGGTATTGAGTGCTTTGGCTCGCTTTAAAACAGGTGCCTGCTGCGTATACAATGTACCGTGACTGCACAGCGATGCATAACAACATTGACTTCACTCAGTCACTTACCCAGCATAGGCAGGTACTGAATGTTGATTGAGGCAAAATATGTACTACTGTTTACGCACTATGGTCGAAACAGTACTGAGCACGGCTGTATGGTATCCAGGACTCATCAAGTCATGCAGTTTATAGACAGGCAGCCGCAGCTTTGAGTTCCTTCAAACCGTGGTATAATCATGATAATTATTATCATCACAGTTTACCAACACTGCACTGCACTACCTTGACTATGGCAAGGATGAACACCAGTCTACATACATGTACTTCGAAGTATTATGTACAAAGTCAATGCACATCGTCTCAGAGTGTGTTGCAGGCCCTGGCCACCCCCTTGTAGCCCAGTCAGTGATGACCTCTCAGGGGGAACATGCACAATGGTGTGTCAGTGTTGACACGCCAGTAGGCATGGGCGGGTAATGCTACTTCGAAGTAGTTTTTTGCTGTGATAATGCTAAAGGCAATGCTCATAATATGAGGATATAATGCCACGTATAATGCTCACACTACTCCAAAATGCCAGATGGAAAGTTGGAAAAGTCGATTTAAGAAGGCCGTCTTGGATCAAGGCCAAAGCATAGAAGAAAAAAACTTAAACAGCAGTGAGCATGTTGTCTGAAACAATCCACTGAGAAGGTTGATTTGCAACGTCAAGTCTCCGGACGAAGCTGGACGGGTTCAGATGCACGATTTTCGGAACTGGACCTAGCCAACTTAATGCATGACACCGTTGTCGACCGGCAATTATGCTTGTAATGCCAGCATTATGCCACCTGGGAAAAAGGGACTACAATGCCAGCCATAATGCTAGCATTACCCACCCATGCGTAGTAGCAGCTTCTTGCTTCATCAAAGAGCGACAATACAACACTCGACATGTTGCGGCTTCGCAGATGACTTCGCAATATTTTTTGTAGGCTTGTCGAACCCAAGGCCAAGGACACTCCAATCTCCATAATTATTATAATCATGTACACATACATTTGGACCGTCTTCATACACTACAGTACGTTTGTATCCATGATGTTTTGCTCGGCCCGGAGAGCACTATAACAGTGGTGCACGACTACAGGCACAATCTTCCTCACTCAGCCTACTCAAGCTCAGCTGTCGCTGATGAGGGTGCCCGAACACAGTGTATTGAGCAGGCTAGGGAGTGGCGCTTTCTTTTAAAAATTTAATAAAAAGGTTTGCCGAGTCGAAGGTTCGATGGACTTCTCGATCGTGTGCTCTGGATGGCATTCGACAGTCAGTCAAGTGTCAAGTTAAATCAGAGGGGAAACTGCAATCTCAGTCCGGTGTGGAGACTTGGGAGCAACCAAATTTCTTATAATTGTCGCCGACGTACATGCGGCCACCAATATTTCGTACTGTTGGAATGTCTTGCCAGGCCATGCATCATCAGATTCTTACCTTTTAATGCATGGTGTCCTGCTATTGTCACCATGTTAGTGAGATGGGTTGGTTGAGCAAGTGGAACTGCTGCCACCGTTGAGCTTAGGCATGGGCGGGTAATGCTAGTTATTTGCTGCGATAATGCTAAAGGCAATGCTCATAATAATTATGAGGATATAATGCCACTTATAATGCTCACACTACTCCATAATGCCAGTTTGAAAGTTGGAAAAGTCGATCAAGGCCAAAGCGTAGAAGAAAAAAACTTAAACAGCAGTGAGGAAGCTTCCACTGACAATCCACAGAGAAGGTTGGTTTGCAACGTCAAGTCTCCGGACAAAGCCGGACGGGTTCAGATGCACGATTTTCGGAACTGGACCTAGCCAGCTTCATGCGTGACACCGTTGTCGACCGGCTATTATGCTTGTAATGCCAATGAATATATTTTGCATGCGAAATGGTGTTATGATGCCAGCATTATGCCACCTGGAAAAAAGGGACTATAATGCCAGCCATAATGCTAGCATTACCCGCCCATGCCTAGTTGAGCTTGACACACACAGTGAATGACTCGTCTGTAATAATTCACAAAGCATGCAGCCAGTCGCATTCATTTTCTGGGTGGTAATGATCCACGATACACATCATACTCGATCATCATGAACAGGTTGCTTGTTGCCGACGGGCAATCTTGGTGCTGGTAGGTAACTGGTTAGCCGTTACTGGCGCTGGCGGCGCTTTGTGAAAGGTTCGCTGCTCATCAGTGTCATCACTACATCAGCATGATCAGTCAGACGGAGCAAAAACCAGATGTCACCTTTAGGAACTGATCACGCGAGAAGCTTTTAAAACGTCAAGTTAGTTTTAAAAAAGAACGTTATGCATTTTCCTGTCTTTGGCGTTTTACAACAAGGCAGATCTACCGACAGGTGGGTGACAGACACACTATCCCAGGCCGTGGCATGCGGGAGAGGTGTCGTGTTTGCGCGATACTACTTGTAGCGTAGGCGACGGCTACGGACTAGTCGGACTGCGGATTGGGAGAGCAGGCAACCACGTAGATCGACACAATGATTATGGGAACATGAAAATGACTGGGCCACACTCCGGCCCACAGACAGCCTACCTACTGCACTGCTTCAACAACAATCAACATCGCGATGCCGGCGCGAACCGCTTGTCTAGCCGTCACCACTGGTCACGCTTCAGTACGCGGAATAGGATGTTGAACGTCTTATAATTATGCAGTGACTGCCAGTCATAGCCACCGCGGAGGTGTGCTGCTGCCGTCCTCAGTAAATCTACAGTACAGTCAGTTCTCGCACATGATCCTGAATGATCGGAAAATTTCTTTGCAGTCGCTTCGTCCCATCAGCCTGGAGTGAGCTGATTGCGGGCAGTGCTTGGTGAGGAGGTATCGTGTCCTTTCCGAAGTTCATCAGGAGTCGGGAGCTGCCTGCGGCTGCAGCATAATGACTTCCAAAATGCGCCACATTTGTGCGTTGCTGCTGGTGATGCCGTGCCTAGCTTGGGCGCAACCATTTCCTACCCTACCTACGTCGTTCGTGGCCGAGGTGGAGGTCAACAATCTGAATCTGGGACGCACGAGTCATGTCTCGCAGCTCTTCGACGGCTTTGCACAAAAGTCACGCCTGGAGGTCCTGCGTAACGGCACTAGCCAATCGGTCATAGATCATATCCAGAGTGATATCCGCTATATATCGGATAGAACCCTGAGAACGTGCCAAGCCCAAAAGTACACGCAGAGAAATCGGCTTACCAATGGATTCGGCAGAGATCCGCATCTATTAACTGTGAATGACTTCTACGAGTTTGGAAGCATGTATCATCGGAGTTATGGCGGCGTGGCCACAGTAAGAGGAATCATATGTGACCGTTACATCGGCAGCTATACAAACTGGACGAATGGGGTGTACACAAGTTATAGCATGCAGTGGTACTTTGCCAGGCAGAGCAACTGGACCATGCCGGCCGGAGATGTGGGTAGCACGGCCATTCCGGTTCGACTTGACCTCGTGGGGGCCACGAACAGCAGTCGGGGACCTCCAGTGACGCCCACACCGCAGCAACAACCACTTTACAGATTCCACGATGTGTACGACTTCATGAAGTTCTTACCAGACGATGCTGCTCAATCAGAGTTATTTGGGGCAGGATACAATCCACCGGGTGGCATTCTGTGTACTGGCGTTCCACAGATCTATGATCTGCCCACGCTTCCCGACCAGTTTTACTACTCATCCTTTTCCTCCAGCGCTTATGAAGTATCGTACGTGTCGAATGTGAGTATGTTATAGGTCCTGTTCGCCTTGTCCGTCTGCCAGTCTGTCTCAGTCTGCATTTATGTTGTCTGTCTGTATGTATCTCTCTCTCTCTCTCTCTCTCTCTCTCTCTCTCTCTCTCTCTCTCTCTCTCTCTCTCTCCCTCTCTCTCGCTCTCTCTCTCTCTCTCTCTCTCTCTCTCGCTCTCTCTCTCTCTCTCTCTCTCTCTCTCTCTGTCTCTCTCTCTCTCTCTCTCTCTCTCTCTCTGTCTGTCTGTCTGTCTGTCTGTCTGTCTGTCTGTCTGTCTGTCTGTCTGTCTCTATCTACCAGGCTAGCTATCTATCTGCTGAATGAACAGAGATAGGGCGTCTAGTACTGCTTGACACTAAATCTTAGTTCGAACCTGAAATATGGCGTCGCGAACCTGAAAGATGTCAGGGAAAATTAAACCTACTTCAGAAGTAGGTCGTCCATGTCTCCCTTCAATTGAAACGGATACTAAAGAGTGTTGTTCCTTGGGCATGACCAAAATTCTCAGTGGTGATTAGTTTTACTCCCGAATTTACCAAATACTAATCTAAGCAACATAAAAAATTAAACTGTGCCTACGAAGATTTCACCCCCAGTTGAACTCCAGGAAACATTGAACAAGTGCTAGGGGGTAAGTAAGTAAGTAAATTATCGTGTCCGTTTCCGAAGGGAACTCACGACGGCCGCTAACACCCGGTAAACCCTAGATGCAGCGCCTAACGGTGGGGGTAAGCGGATAAGTCTCACAACCACTGGCACAAGTGCCGAGAACGACCCCATTAGCTGCATCCATGTACCCCTTGTGCCTGGCCACAAGTTCCCAGTTGACTGTGGGTAGCAGCACGGCTGGAAAAACCGCTCCCAGGCAGGACTTGAACCAGGTACCTCTCGTATCTCAATCATGGTCTTTGACCAACCCACTGTGCCTGCCTGGCGGTGATGAAAGTAAATAGTTGTAATAAGTACAATGGAAATCTGATAAGACGTACCCCATGCCGGGGAACAGAAATGGGTCCTGACTCCTTAGTATTTGACTGCTTTAACGTTATATCAGAACATGCTTCACTATGGGGCGATTCACCTAACTGTTTCCGTAAAACACGATATTTTCGGTGTAACTTCAATTTCGGTGATTTCGGTAGTGAAAACAAGGACCTAAATTTAGATAACACCTAGAAGGCGCTAGAGTACGCACAGTATGTGATGGGTAGGCTGTTCGCCTAATTCTACGTTACACCTAAAACCTGGCAGGTCCCTGGTACCGAAATTTAAATACACCTGCTTCGTAAATGTGTTATGTACGGTGTGCAATGGAGATATTTTCCGATGTGAAAACTACGCTGCATTGGAGTCTGAGAGTTTTACGGAAACAATACTTCATAAAATTACATGTTTTACGGTATGCCCCGGACAGTAGCCGTACTAAGGGGGGGGGGGGGGGGGTGTGGACTTATCAACTACTGGTGTGATATGTCCAATCAAGGTCAAGAATGGCATAGAGTGCCGCTCACGACACGGATCATGTATCTCTGTGTGTGCATGGCTGTGCGTGTGTATGTATGTGTGTACGCGTATGTGTGGGTGTGTGTGCATCAACAGTATGCGTATGACTCGGTGCGGGGCGAGACGGCGGTGACCTATGACATTGAGTTCTCCAACAACGGCACCAACCTGACTGGTACGACGTACGGTGGGCTGCATCACGTTATTCACAACTTCCGCCAGGGGACCCAGTACAACATAACCCCACAGGCATGCTCTACGGAGACGCTGACCAGCATCGTGGGTACACCGCAGGCAAGGGACGTATCCCAGTATCATGGCCACGCCAAACTGCAGTCCGGCAATCAGGTTTTCCAATTCTCACCCGAAGCAAACTTCACCTACCAAGGGTCTCGGTCGATTCTTGGCTACCAACTAGACCTCTGGTCAAGTAAGATTCTTGGGAACCTTTTAATTTTAAATGTACAGTGAAAGCCGCCAGTGCATGTTTTGGTGTGCAAAGGAACTAATGCATACTCTGCTGGGTATGATCATCAGTACGACTGACTCTCTTGCTAACTCGCAAAACACGGAAAATGGAGGAAGAGAAAGAAACCATTCGAGGAAAGTAGAGCCGGATGGAGAGCCAAGGAATGAAGTTACTAAAATGCGGACCAATATTTTACAAGTTACCCGAACCATTGTCCAGCTGTGATATGACCAAGACATTCCAGAGTCAGAATATGCAACAGCTGACACGGTGCTTACGTGTGGTGGTGACACTATAGCACTGACATTTACCTCCATTGTGTCTCGAATGCTTCTTTCAAACTGTCCTCTCCTTCCCCTCTCCGACCTTTCATCGTAACTTACTTCAATCAAAACGTCGAAGCTTCCAATTCGGTAAACTGCTAGCTGTTAGATGCTCATTCCTCAATGGACGTGTACGTGTGTGGTGGCAGATCACAGACCATAGTTACCATCTTCAAAACTTTCCTACTCCAGTGCGGTCTTCTATAATTATGTCTGTACATCTCAACATTCGTCGGTTTTTGTACACTCGCTCGCTGGCTTTACCACCAAGGGTTCTCAATCAGAGTAGGGGAAGGGGGGGGCACTGCCTCCCCCCCCCCCTTTCCCCTGGCTAGAACCCACTGCCCCCCCCCCCCCCCCCACCCTTCCCCCTGGCTAGAAACCTGATGTGTGCACCACCAGACTGTTGGCACTGCCATCTGTGCTGCAGCATTTGTTGGACCGTGCTGATACTTGAAAGCATTTCAATGTGCCTTGGTTTTCTGCAGCTATTCGAAATGACGTCCAGCTGGACTCATCACTGCCAAAAAACCAGAAGTCACTGTGGCAGTACTTTTTCAGCCCTTTGCTGTACAAGGTCAACACTCTCAATGGATTACTAACTCACACAAGGGTGAGTCTGCAAGCGTATCAGGAAAAGAACTCAGCAAATTTGTGTTGAACTAGAAAAATTGCCCTATTGTCGCGTTCAACGGTCTAGTTTCCGAATTCCATCGCGAGCACTTGCTTTGCCTATCTATCAGCGTGACTAACTTGATTAGCGTGTGTTGTGTAGTCATCTGGTGTTCTCCTCTGGACACTTTATATCAGTCATATGCTACATGTTGTATTTGCTTGGGAGTTGGGACCATTGGAAAGTACTGTAGAACGGGTAATTTCAGCGACTACTAATTTTAGCGTTTTCCCATTGTCAACCGGTTAGCGACTATTAATTTTAGCGTTTTCCCATTGTCAACCGGTTAGCGACTATTAATTTTAGCGTTCTCCCATTGTCAACCGGTTAGCGACTATTAATTTTAGCGTTTTCCCATTGTCAACCGGTTAGCGACTATTAATTTTAGCGTTTTCCCATTGTCAACCGGTTAGCGACGGGTTTTTTTAGCGATTTGCAGCGATTTTACTCACGGATCAGCAGTGCACTGCTAATGTCTCAACGGATTAGCGACTTGAAACTTTAGCGAAAATGAGTCGATCGCTAAATTCGCTAGGGTTTTTACGTCGCTAAAATTACCCGTTCTACAGTAACGGATATTTCCGTAATGTTCTTCTAGACTGATGTGGAAGACGTAGATGCATGTACGCATGTAGTGCGTTTGAAGAATCGAACATGCGTCCAACTTGTTCTACTAGAAAACTGTGTCCACTGTTTTTTTTTCTTTTTTTTAAACGAAACACATTACCATTGCACTGCATAACGCACATGTATGATGTTTGATCATAACTCACCATGTAATAATTATAGTCTTCCACAATGGCGGCTATCGTTCCCGTTCTCTGCAGGTTCCAATCGAGATCCATATCTTCAGCTTGGAGCCAGACAGCAAAGTTCCGCCGATTTTCCAATTAACCGGATCCTACTATGTAGGGCCAGCTCCAGCGCGGCTCTTCGACACGTCGAGCTGCTTCACGGCCTCACAGCAGTCGACGGCCATGTTTGCACTCAACACGCCGTACAGCAACTCACGCGCCATTCGAATGGCCGTCATGAAGGCTCTCTCTTCGACCTTGGGACTGGAGACGGACCGATTTCAAGCTACGGTGAGTAGTGTGAGGGGAGGTGGAACCAGTCCAGTTGGTCTGGCCACGGCCGCACCAACTCGTTGGCCATCAATGCATACATCTGTGCTAACTTCTGAGGGGATCGTGTGTACCCGCCGTATCATGCACAAGATGTGAGCGGCTGTGGCATGGCCGGACCAATCAGAAACTGCTGCCGCCGGTCCTGTGGTACCAAACACCTCATGGTCACGGCTAGCTGAAACAAACACCTCATGATGCTAGCTAAAACAAACACCTCATGGTGCTAGCTAAAACAAACACCTCGTGGTTGTTGCGTTCCGAGAACGCACCTAAAACTCCAGTCTACTCTCGAGATCACTCAGAAGGCTGACTTTATTTACAAGTACACGAGGTGATCAATCCAGAAGACTCCGGAACATAACAGCAAGCTACATGCACGTACTATGTACAGGGCAGTTCAAATCGTACGGGATTCTGTGTACACTAGATTGTTCACTTAGCTAACAAACCACAATACAATCGGAAGCACACGGTTGACAGGATGCGTGCGTAAAACAATACAGATTGTATATCAGTGGTTGCTGATTGCAAACCACAACAATGGTGCTAGCTAAAACAAACACCTCATGGTGCTAGCTAAAACAAACACCTCATGGTGCTAGCTAAAACAAACACCTCATGGTGCTAGCTAAAACAAACACCTCATGGTGCTAGCTAAAACAAACACCTCGTGGTGCTAGCTAAAACAAACACCTCGTGGTGCTAGCTAAAACAAACTCCTCATGATGCTAGCTAAAACAAACACCTCATGGTGCTAGCTAAAACAAACACCTCATGGTGCTAGCTAAAACAAACACCTCATGGTGCTAGCTAAAACAAACACCTCATGGTGCTAGCTAAAACAAACTGGCCGGCCTGAGAGATTATGGCAAGATGTGGGGGCTGCTCACATACTAGTAGTTTGGTTTTGCAACGTAACCTTGACAACAGGTGACAGTGCTCAGTACGTATGGCAGAGCATGACAACATAACTCCAGTCAATTATAACGCTCAGTGTTTACTCGAGTTTCATGCTTAGTGACGCAACCATCATGAGACAATGTCCTTACAATGAACAACTTTGTCCGGTTTTATCGGAATAGAATGTGTTGCCAGTGCCAGCAGATAGAACCTGTGCATGCTCTTTTGCTTCCACCTTTACGACGCCAAAGGTATCGTAGCTATAAACTTTAAAGAGAAACGAACAGGTCACAGCACTTCATTTTTAACGAAAGGTTTTCTGCTACATGGACAAGTGCATGCATGCATACCCTACGCTGACTGACTCAATAAGTATGCAACACTCACACATGTGTGGCTGTCCTCTTGTCTTTTTTCAGATCTTCCCCGGCGAAGGCAACTTACTGAATGTGCTCGTCACTGCAGAGGATCTACCGACGGTAGGTGATCCATCGCTGCTGTCCTCGCTGCCGACATTGAGCGCGGCCATGAAGAAGCTGAGCGACGCGATCAAAGGCGGCACATTCTCCGTTAGCTTGCCTGCGACGGGAAGTGTGTTGGCGAAGAGCAGCTCGTTCACGGCCTCAACAGAGTCTGAGCCCACTACGTACTCAGCAGCGGAACTGGCTGGCCTTGCTGTCGGCGTTCTTGTTCTTGGCTTCATCTGCGGCGTGCTTCTTGTGCACGTGGTACTGCGTGTGAAAGGCAAGAAGTAGACACAATGAAATTGTTTGGTCTCCAGCTTTCTCTCAGGCCAAGACAAATGTTGCTCATATCGGATGCTGTTCACCATCGTTCACCATTCCATATCATCCTAAGGCAAAAGGGAAAAAGAGCTTCCATGTGTTGATGCGGAGTGAATGCTGAACACTTATGTGGCACTTTGCCGGTAAATTTCCTTTTGAAATAGGCCTTTTGTAAACTTCATCTTGATAGGAAGCTGCTCAACATAATTTCCGCCTTTGTACAAAGTATGTAATTATCTTTGATTATTTTAATGAAATGCTATCAACTGGCTGTTGTTACGATCATATCGGTAGCTAAATGTACAGCAAAGCCTGTCAAGGCGACCACTCAGATAAGGCGACCAACTGTCCAAGGGGACCATTACCACCAGGACCAAGGGTTGTCAATTTCAGTCAAATGATAACCCTGGATAAGGAGACCACCTGTGCTCAGCGACCACATTTTGAAGGTCCCTTAAGCGGTCGTCTTAAAGGGGCACTCCGGCTTCATTTTCGACGCCGAGTTTTCGATGCCAAGACGAAGGTAGGTGAAAGAGAAGACCCCTCGAACAAGAACGAGTCTCCAGAAGCGATCAAGTCGAGCAGGAAGACGACTTTTTGAATTTCGCCGAGCGAGCGCTGATGACGTAATGAGGGATTAGCTTGCCAGTGGAAATGCATCTGCGCACATACATTTCACACACTTTTTGGCCAATTTTCAATCGAAGAGGAGGTTGTTTTCTATGTTCTTTCAACGTCGTGAGCGATTCCGTCTTCTATACCCTTCCAGGTACCCTGAAGGTCCTCCAGAGGAGAATTTATCTCCAGCAAAGCGTTGTTGATCCGCTAAATTCGTCTCGAGACATATTCACCCAGTGCAGTGCTGATAAATGTAGAATGTTGAATCTGTGATAATTGTCGACAATGGAGAGAGAGGTTGATAGCCGCTGTCGCAGGGAGAGTGAAGCTGCTGGAAGTAACAACGAGGAGCCCGTTTGTATTACCTGAACAACCAGACTTCAAAGCTGGTTGACCAAATCGGAGGGTGCCTCGTTGCTTATCGTGAATATTACACCGACATGAATTACTACAATTACAAGTATACTGGTGAGTTTTTATCTTGTTTTGTTCGTATGCTAGTACCCTGGCCTGGAGTTGTCGTTAGCAAATTCCTATTCCGTGGCGTTTTCTAAACGTTCCGTGTAGTACTGAATACGTGATCAAGTATTCCGATTTGGATAGATGTGGAATTTGGATATGCATTTTATAAAAAAATTCTATTTTCCAAATAGAGCGTTTGTAGAGAAAAATTTTTAATGGTTGCCCAAATACAACAAAATTGATTTTGCAGTTCTACAACTTGTACTGAAATCCAGTCAAAGTAAAAATGATTCTTCATGACAGTTGGGGTCAATAAAATCTGATCCAGGCATAACGAATGGTGACGCCTGTCACCCCGGGAACGAATGCCCATTTGGTGGGGGATACCAAAGTACTCGAAAGTGGTGCGTGTTTCAATGTGGCATTTGGAAGTTTTATATAATCTCTGGTCAATGCAAAATACGATAGCCATCATGAATTGCAGGCCTCGAACGCAACTCAGACCAGAAATGGCAGTTCCCTAAGTTAGATGCTTTATAATTCCATGGCCCTAGCTATAGTTATAGAGGTTTTTTGCACATTATTCAGTCGATAGGTTTATACTGATGGCCACAAACAACGGCAGTTCAAACTTCACTGATGTGTTTATGAGCTGAGAGATTTCTCTACACTATTTCTGTTGTGCACACAGGTCTGTCCAAAATGCATTGACCGTATTGGGTATGGTATCTGCTCTGAGAAGGGAATCGCTGGAGCCACAGTCCAACTAGACCGGCTTTCAAGAAACAGAGAGGAGCCATCTTTGCAAGCTGACGCCTGATGTGTACCGACAGAATTCTCACGAGATACCTTACGGACTACGTCTGGTGTATACTTCATAGTACTTCTTCGACTACTGTCTAGAATCAAGTCGACTGAAACAAGTTCAAACAACTCTGGCTTCAAACAAGCCGTCGATTAGACAAACAAAACATTCTCTCATAATACTAGAGCACTCTGACAACTCCCGACCTATTCCTAACGATTGCCACCGCTTCGAAATATGTAGAGTGCTGATTGGAATGTGCTCATAATCTCAACAATCCAGTGCTATAATTATTTGAACAATGTGTTAGAAATTATTCCACTTTTCCTTCCATAAATGTTGTATCCACATATAATTCACAGTGCTGCACAGTTTCAGAGTTCTCAGGGTATCAAACAAAACTATTTCAAATACAGTGAAATTGTCCGTGGACATTATAGCGTAACTTGTAGTTCCCTAGTCCTTTTCTCTGCTATAAATTAATCCTTTGCTCTCTAGCCGCCGGCGAGTCCAACAGTGAAATTGTTAGTTCATATTTATAATGTGGGTATGTAGGGGGGGGGGGGGTGAACATATTTCTATATAAGGGACCTGCAACTGTAATACCACAGTATAGTAGCTGGCAAATACATGTATGTAGAAAACAGAAATGCATGTTACCATCATTGTACATGGACGGGCGCAGCAGGCCGAAGCTATCAGCCAGAACAGGATTTACAATCACCTAGAGATACTTGAGCTATTCCAGTATTCTGCGTGAGCTGTCCCATTCCACAATAGTTCATGCCACCATTATTTCTGGTAGTATCCATGTGCATAATTCCAAGACCATCTCGGATTCTTCAGCAATTTGTGCCACGGCAAAAGACAACGCTCGACTCGGTCACTGGGGCTGCCAAACTTCCCATCACAAATGAACTTCAATTTCTCATCTGTTTCAAGTATATGTACTGCCATGACTTGACCATGCTTCATCCACAGCTGGGCGAAGATTGTGGCGTTGAATTCCATAGCGCACCTTCTTGCTGCCATGCAGGAGTATGTTGAGAGAAGTGAACATATTTTTACTAAAAAACAACAGCCACTGAAGAGGATAGTAATAGCCTTGGGTGAATTTCCTGCAGGTACACGTTGTTGGTAGGTCTACTGGTCCGTCTCCATATCGTCAAGTTCAGAAATCACCTGTACTACACGACACATCTTGTAGAAGGGATCCTGATCGAATAATTTCTGGTCATAAAATTCACTAAACTGAGGGCGAGACAAATAGTCAGTACTCCCCGATTCCGTCAAGCTGCTTTGAAGTCTAGATGCTCATGTGATGCTAACAAGCTCCCCGTCGTTACTTCCAGCAGCTTCACTTTCCCTGCGACAGCGGCTATCAACCTCTCTCTCCATCGTCGACAATTATCACAGATTCAATATTCTACATTTATCAGCACTGCATTGGTTGAATATGTCTCGAGACGAATTTAGCGGATCAACAACGCTTTGCTGGAGATAAATTCTCCTCTGGAGGACCTTCAGGGTACCTGGAAGGGTATAGAAGACGGGATCGCTCACGACGTTGAGAGAACATAGAAAACAACCTCCTCTTCGATTGAAAATTGGCCAAAAAGTGTGTGAAATGTATGTGCGCAGATGCATTTCCACTGGCAAGCTAATCCCTCATTACGTCATCAGCGCTCGCTCGGCGAAATTCAAAAGTCGTCTTCCTGCTCGACTCGATCGCTTCTGGAGACTCGTTCTTGTTCGAGGGGTCTTCTCTTTCACCAACCTTCGTCTTGGCATCGAAAACTCGGCGTCGAAAATGAAGCCGGAGTGCCCCTTTAAACAGGTTTTACTTTATGTACACTGTGCATGAACAGATGTGTGTGTGTGTGTGTGTGTGTGTGTGTGTGTGTGTGTGTGTGTGTGTGTGTGTGTGTGTGTGTATATGTGTGTGTGTGTGTGTGTGTGTGTGTGTGTGTGTGTGTGTTTGTGTGTGTGTGTGTGTGTGTGTGTGTGTGTGCGTGCGTGCGTGCGTGCGTGCGTGCGTGCGTGCGTGCGTGCGCGTGCGTGCGTGTGCGTACGTGTGTGTGTGTGTATGTGTGCTTGTGTGGGCATGCGTATGTGTGCTATTAATATAGTCACGGGGAAAATTAATTGAATTGCAAACTGATCAACATGCAGTAGGATACGCATGTGCCGCGCAACATCGGTGTTAAACCCATATCGGTGTTAAACCCATATCATATCGGTACATACTGGACTAAAGAATTGCCTTGCACTATCGACTGCCCTGTATGTTTGAAACATTTTTGGCTGCTGTCGTGGAAACTCGCGTGGCGGGGGGGGGGGGGGGTAATGTCTGGAGGTTTGTACCGGTATGTGCGTTGGCCGGGGCTGCCGTATAGGTTATGGGATTACATGACCAGTTGAGATTCTTCGGCAAAGTTGCAGCACAGCTCGATAGCCATGCTCTGGCAACTCACTAGCGATTCACTCTGTATAGCGTCCATCGGCGATTCCGCTGTATACTTGGCACCCATTTAAAAAAAAAGTAAATTATCTCGTCCGTTCCCAAAGGGAACTCACGACGGCCGCTAACCCCCGGTAAACCCGTAAGCGGTTCCGGAATTCTGCCGACTCATCATTATAATATAATGACTTAGGCTTTCGCATAACCTCTACAACCTGGAGGTTGATGTACAGACACCGTCCAGAGTGAGCGGTTGCTGATTAGAAGATCTGCTATGGGTATAGGTTGACCACAGTTCTACATTCTGTCAGGCATTCTTCTTAAGGTTCACCACATTGGGCGTCGCGCAATATTGCAGTCACGGGATCGTGCGCTCTTACACGCATTCCAATGAAGCCCTGGCAGCCTTTTAGGCAGCCTCGCTTGCAACTAATGGCAACCAACAGTCTGCGGTGTGCAATGTCCCAGTATACTGTATAGTCGCAACAATGTGCAAGGCAACCTTTTGACTAGGAAAACTGCCGATTCCATTTGGGCCCATCACGCTGCGTCCTCATACATCTCCATAATAACCCTGATATTGGCACACCTGGTACGTCTGCCGTGCACAGATGGCCGGACCGTTCAAGTTGTCTTCAAGTCTTTCCATAGCAGACTGTATTGTAGAAAGTGCTCAGTGAATAATAAGTGGGATGAAACTAATTACTTACTTCGAAGGCTATACTGTAACTATAACGAACTACTTGTAAGCTATGTACCCGCTTTGGACTTCGAGTCAGCTGAGTGCATGATTGTACATGCATCTAGTTTGACAGCCGTTGAAAGACATAGACACGTGCTAGTATACTGTGCACAAACGCTGACACGTCGAGCTCCGTGTCTTGACTTTAGTTCGGAAGACTGGTCCCAGGGGCGGATCCAGAGATCTCTACAGGGGGGTTCCGGTTGAACCAAAATTGAACAGCCAAAATATTATGGAATCAGATTGTATTGAAGTTGTGCGGTTGTAATAACGACAATCCGATTGTGTTAGTTGGAATCGCATGCTTTTAAAACAAACTACGGACATAGATTCTTCCATCATCGACCACACCACAACTGCGCTCTCCACGTTGCCACAGCACACCACCACTGCACCATCGCTGGAGAGCTCAGTTGTGGTGTGGTGGACTATGGAAAACCTGTACAGAGCCAAATGCTGCTGCTCACCCTACATTGTATATATTTAGTATGGACACATAATCATAATTATACATGTTTGCAATCGACTGGCACACAGGTTCAGTGAGGGCTTGAAGACCCTTTCAACTTTTCTTGTAAAGATCGAATATGCAAGCCATGGGTTCGTTGAGAGCCAGAAATGCCGAAATGACAACTTTCCCTGTCCGTTTGTACTTTCGGAAGTTTTTAGCATTTTTACGATGCGAAATGCTCTATAATCACAGGAGCATTGTCTTCACTTGACAGAAACAACAACAGCGAAACAGTGTCGTCTCGACAATCCGTTCAAGGCCATCTAAAACACATCGCTGGCGCAGCACTCCGTTCCTGCGGAGTAACAACTAGTCACTACTGCATGCTGCAGCAGGTAGAGATTACTGACTTTGCTTGGATGTCGGAGCCCTCATCTTCTGAGGAGCTTGAACTCTACGTGTACGATTCGAAGTTTGTTGAAGAGTGTCATCAATCGGAACATCCTTTCTCTTCCGGAAAAAAACTTGTCCAAGGAATACTGACCATACCCATCCAGAGCAGCAGTGAATGACAGCGCCAATGGAGGTAAGATCGTTTCCAAAGATCAAAAAGGAAACAAGCTCCCAATGTTGTCTACACTACAGTGTCCGTTTGTAAATCACGGACATGAACGCCAGTACAAAAAAAACAGACTACGTACAGTATCGATCTACCGCATGCAGTGCACTGTACTCCTTGACTCAGTGACTGCACTGACTGTGATCGGACGGACGTCCTTTGAAGTTTTGTGCACACATGATATTTTTCGATATTTCTCAGCAGTACACTTTGCAAAATTTAGGGGGTTCCATGGAACCCCCGGAACCCCCCCTGGATCCGCCACTGGGTCCCACCCCACAGCTTGCAGCTGCCATGCTATAGTATGACTTGGACGACAGCCAAGTGACCTTCACGCCTCACGCCACGGTTCATCTGCTACGCGTGATTTCGTGATCCGAGTTGTATTGTAACATGACTTGAGATCTGGCATGCAGCCGCAAACGTTTACGCTGGAGTAGAAGTCAGAAGGCCAAAACGTAGACGTCTGAAAACAAAACGTAACGACTTTATAATGTAGATTGTCCGCGCGCTAGGCTGGGCTGGCTGCGCACGGTGAACATGGTGAAGCGACTCCTTGCGAGGCTTTGCTGCGCAACTGGCAGATCTACAAGACTACATCCTGTGCAGGAGATTTTGCTGTTCCCATCGATCGCACTCACGACCTAGTGTGTTGGCGATACAGGAGAGCCTGCTAGTGGTTGTGTGTTTTTCTTCTCCAGTATCCGGGAAACTGTTCCTGCAGTGGATAGCTGGTCGAGAAGCAACCGCAATACAGCGCCAGAGTGGACGGTGTGTATTTGGTAGCACTGAGTTAGTACTGAGGGGACGGCCAAAATGAGACAAATAATTGTTTGGTCTCTAGTGTTGGTGGTGTCGTGTTTGGCAGCCGCGTGGGCACAAATGACCCAGCCGCCGTTCCCCACCTTACCATCATCGTTCTCCACCGAAGTGGAAGCCAACATTCTGAATCGTGACTACACCGTTCAGGTAAGGGAGTTCTTTGACGGCAGGGACGACCGAGCGCAGTTGGAAGTTACGCGCAATGGCAGCAGAACGGTGGTCATCGACGACATCCGGAATGGCATTCAGTACACAGTCGATGATTCGCGCCGTACGTGCCAAGCCAGGAACTACACCCTTAGAGATCGACTGGAGACACTCGGACCCGACGGACAGCCACATCTGATTAGCGTGAATGATTTCTTTCGATTCGGCAAAGCCTATCACGAGAAGTACGTGGGCCAGGCGACAGTCCGAGGAATCGTTTGCGACCAGTACACGGGCAATTACACGAACACAACGAACGGCATGTATGTGAGCTACGTGATGCAATGGTACTTTGCACGACAGAGCAACTGGACAATGCCGGCTGGTCCCGGCGATGGAACAGCTATTCCGGTACGACTCGACCTTGTTGGAGTATCCAACATCACGCGCACTCAGGGGCCACCGACTACACCTCTGCCGTCACAGCCGCTTCACAACTTCCACCACGTGTACGAGTTCACAAAGTTCTTGCCGAATCCGGATTTCTTCAATACCCCTGGAAATTTCAATCCACCAGAAGGCATTCTCTGCACCGGTGTTCCGCAAATCTACGACGTTCCTAAGCTGCCGGACCAGTTCTACTTTCAAACAATTGCCTTTGACACCACACAAGAGGCAGGCTATATGTCGGGGGTAAGTACACGCAAACCTCTGTCATCTAGATAGTCATAACTCATAAGAGTCACTACTGCTGCACCAGAAAGTCATAACGCCTACTCTGCCAGCCTACAAAATGTTCAGAGCGTCAAATAAAGGTTTGGGTCAGGGTTAGGCTTAGGGTTAGAATTAAAATTTCAGCCTCAACATCAAGATCTCCACATGCACTGGTGATTGGTGTGTGCGTGTGTGCCACTGTGTATGCGTGTGTGTATGCCCGTGTGTGTGTGTGCCCGTGTGTGTGTGTGCGTGTGTGTGTGTGTGTGTGTGTGTGTGTGTGGTGACAGTTATCTGACGCAAAGTCTTGATCTGTCTCATTCAGATCTTGTCCGCTATCGTTGCAATAAGAGAGAATCTGTGGGTGCACATCCAGTGCATTATATGTAGATGTGCGTGCTTCTCTTGCGACGGGCGTACACATGGTACATGGTGTGTGTGGAGGGGGGGGGGGGGGGGTCTGCAATGCTATGCTGTTTCTGAGTTGCAACTGAGGAAAGGTTTCTAAGGTTTGGGCTGAAATAATCTGAAAAATAACATGTTGGTAATGCTGTATTCACAATCAGTCTCAGTGCCTGCACGATAACTCAGTGGTGTAGCTGGCCCCCCTTTTAGGGGTGCACGGCCGCATATGAGTAGGATGGCTGGTGCATGTCACTCATGGTCATTACGTGCATGCTGAAACTAGGTCGAAATATTTAGGGGGGTGCATATGCCCCATGTGGGCCACGCACCTGATACGTCATGTACATGCACCGTACAAAAAAAAGGGAAGGAGAAAGAATGTGATACTCATGTCACACTGCATCACAACACCGTTCTGGATCCGAGTCGTGTTTACTCCGGAACAAACGTTTTCAGGTGACGTTCATCAGTGAATAAGCCGTCGCTTCCATGAAGAACGGGGTAAAGTGAATCAATCAGCTTGGCAAGCAGCGGTTATATGCAGTAGATCTGAAGGGGGGGGGGTATGTTCGGTGGGCCTTTCCCAGATCAACCCGGCTTTTAAGCCTAATTGGCTTTTCGATCGGCTAAGAGAATATCCAATTCCGGCCACATAATGAGCCTCAAAGTCAGAATTCAGCTCAAAACCCATTATTCGGCCAATTGAAAAGTAGTACTTGAAGTCACCATTCACAGTATTCTGTATAAATAGAGAGGTTCCGCACTACGTAAAGTTGAGCAACTTAACGTTAGTGGGCGGGGAAAACCCGTGAATTCGCGAGTTTGCACTCCACTTACGGAAAGTTGTCTACGGAGAGTACGTAGATAGGGCTCTGATAACGTAGCTGGTCCGTAAGTGGATTGGGGTACAAATTTATGACTTTCTTCCCAGGTCGATCTGGTCGTACACTGCCGCGTTCGGAGTTGCCAAGGGCAGCTACGTGATTTGAAAACTCCGTATGGCGGAACCCAGATGCGCATGCAGTTTACGTAAGACTTTCCGTAGATCGACTACGTTTTTTACTAACGTAATTACGTTATGCGGAACCTCTCTATTACTTGAAGTTTGAATACATGCATGCGTATGTACATGCATATATGACCAAAACATCGATTTTTGGCGAATTCAGTGCGAAATTGATACATTCTGCTAAAACATGGGGATTCCTTCACAACCACTGTCTTCAGCGAATATTTCGGCCTAACCGGTTTGAATGCCTGATGTGCTGGCAGTCCATTCATTGAATAGAAAACGAATAGTCCCACCCTCCCCTCATCCCCTCCCCATTATAATAATTTTAATGGGGAGGGGATTGGGAAGGGTGAGACGATTTGTACAGATAATGTCTGTAAGGCTGTAAGTGCATCTCCTGACAAGAAAAGCACCCCGATTTTGGCTGAGTAAGGGTCAGGACTCGCTTTAAAAATTTGAAAACCCTGGTTTTGGTTAAAGCTAACTCCCTCTCCCTTGACTTTTCCTGCCTCGCTGAGAATGTAGCAAGAAAGCACTGGTCACCCAATGCAGGATTTTAACTTATTTTTTAGTCAGTGTCCACCAGTAGGTGTGAAACAACACAATTTCGCACCCAAAACTGGAGCCCTTGCTACAGTGGAGTACAGAGGAACCCACTTAGCACGTCACTCTCATAAGACATACTCTTGCTTAGTACGGACATTGTCCGCAGCACGGTGTGTATTGATCCATACTGATGTATGTTGGGTGGTGTGTATTGATCCATACTGAAGTATGTTGGGAGGTGTGTATTGATCCATACTGAAGTATGTTGGGAGGTGTGTATTGATCCATACTGAAGTATGTTGGGAGGTGTGTTGATCCATACTGATGTATGTTGGGTGGTGTGTATTGATCCATACTGACTCGGTATGTTGGGAGGTGTGTTGATTCATACTGAAGTATGTTGGGAGGTGTGTATTGATCCATACTGAAGTATGTTGGGAGGTGTGTATTGATCCATACTGAAGTATGTTGGGAGGTGTGTGTTGATCCATACTGAAGTATGCTGGGAGGTGTGTATTGATCCATACTGAAGTATGCTGGGAGGTGTGTATTGGTCCATACTGAAGTATGTTGGGAGGTGTGTATTGATCCATACTGAAGTATTTTGGGATAAGAAGTATCTCGGATACTATGTATACTGTATACTCTCCTGTTACCTGTGGGAGTATTTCTCATCAGAGTTTCCATTCCCCGCGTGTGTGTGTGTGTACGCGCGTGTATGTGCGTGCGTTCACACAGTACGCGTACGATGCCGTGCGCGGCGAGACCGCCGTAGTCTACGATCTGGAATACACCGGCAACGGCACCAACCTGACTGGGACCGGGTACGAGGGACGACATCGCATCGTGCACAACTTCCGTCAGGGCACGCAGTACAACATAACGACAAGTGCTTGCTCGATGGAGACGCTGGTGAGTGTGGCAAATACGCCCGGAGCGACCGATATCTCCTTGCTCAACGGACACGCGTCACTGAATTCCGGCAGCCAGCTCTTCCGATTTTCACCCGAGTCGAACATCACCTTCCAAGGCCAGCGAAAATCCATCTTTGGCAACCCGGTTCAACTGTGGTCCAGTAAGCACATGAAATGGAACATTTTCACTCACAGATGCTTAGAGCTCAATTCTGCGTAATATGCAAGCTAAGACTCGGATTGAGAGCCAAGTATAAAAGTGAAAAAGAAGGAGCAAAGGTGTTTTTCAAACAACCAACAACGGATAACTGGCCGTTGGTCCTTCTTTATTCAATATGCAAGCTGTTCTTCTTCTTGCTATGAAGCCGCGTGACATCTGGGTATCATGATACGCTGCTCTGACAATGTAGTTGTGTAGGACGAAATTGAAACATTTGAAATCCACACGTGACCCGGTGGTGCCGTGTAGCCAGTTAGAGCATCTGCCACTGAAACACGCAGTGTACAATTGGGGCTGGAAGTCATGGTGGACTTATTATGAAAGCCATTCCACTTTACGCTCAGGGTGAACGCACGTATCTCCAAGTACCGTAAGTCTACAAATATTCAGCGCATATTTATTTTCGGCTATTTTCGGCCTGGTCTCGTGTTTGGCCGAAAATTTCTTGCGGCCGAAATTTTGTTTTGCAAGGCTCAGTGTGACAGTGTATACAGGCGGCAGCAGTTCAGGCTGAAAATTTGATGCGGCCGAAATGGATTTTAGCCCTGGGAGACCCAAATTTGAATGGGCCGAAATGGATTTTAGCCCTGGGAGACCCAAATTTGAATGGGCCGAAAATTAGTACACCTACAGTAGCGTGTGTATATTGCAGTCTGAAGGTTACCATGGTTACAAGTGACACTCCGGTGTGGTAGTGCACTGCTCCCATCAATGCAGGTAGCAATGTACACGCAGAGATCTGTTAGAGCGTTAGTATTTTGAAGAAGTGTAATTTGATCACTATAGACGATTACCGGTATCACTACAGGCGATTACCGGGTATCACTACAGGCGATTCATTGGACAGGGTAGTACTTCAACGTATGCAAGTGATAACTTTACGACTTTAGTCATGATGACGTACACAAACAGACGTGCATCATACATGTAAATACCGTACCGAGACTTGTAAAGTACAAAATAACAACAACATGCATCTACTCTATGGCCACACTGCTGGTAGTACACAGCATTTACACAATCTCAGTTTCCGGTAGGTACCGCAACTTACTATAAACGATCCATAATAATATATGGAATTGAGTGGTTTTGAGAAAAGGACCTATAAGTTACTAGTTATGACTAACAGTCCACCAAGGTAACCAAGGTAATGAGATGATATACAGTCAGAAGTCCCAAGTTGGGTGGTCTGTTGGCTTGCGTTTTCGATTTGTAGTTATACCGGTTTGTCCAACGGTCTTACTAGTCTCGTCATCATCATCCCGTAACGTTCGCCATGCTTTGTTGCCCAGGGACATAGCTCGTGCACATCTTCGTGGCGCGTCCCTTCCCCTCATTGGAACTTTCCGCACCTGAGCCTTCCAAGTTGGACGGTTGTCGGTGTTGCGCACCATGGAAGTTTCACTCAGCGGCGCATACATGTACATGGTGAACATTATGCAGCTACAACACTACAGGGACTGATTAAATTGTGTTGTCTTCGCTGATCTCCCTTTCTCCCGTGCTGGTGCTATCTTTTCGCGCTTGCAGCCGTTCGCAATGATGTCCAGTTGGTGCGCTCACTTCCAGCCAACCAGACCTCTCTGTGGGAATACCTTTTCACCGTGCCCCAATGGAAGATCAACACGTACGATGGACTGCTAACGAACACGAGGGTGAGCTAGAAAACTCCAAAGTAGCATTGTCATCAGGTCCACAGTAGATCTCCCCATACCTAGGCACGTTGGGACTGGGGCAATGCTCGTAACTAAGTGACACGAAACATTCATACTGATTGCGTGCAAGTAACGCTTTTTTATGCCACTCAATTTTTTTTAAATTGTTGGTTCCGGTTTCCGTTCAAAAGCCAATTGTTGTGATTTGAAAGGGGTTAGAAAGATTGCCAGATCTGGGGAGTCCAGGTTAGGGGAGTTAATTGTATGTTACACATTGTTTCTTGAAAAGAGACTATCCCTGTACATTCGGTAGTTCTATTCTATATAGAGGATATGTTGTCTGTAGTGTGAGAATCCGTGAGCCTACTTCGAAGTAGGTAAATGTTATACACTTCATCTCCTTCTTCCGTCATCTCCACCAGCTCCAACTTTTTGTGTGTGTGTGTGTGTATTATTTGTGTGTGTGTGTGTGTGTTTGTGTATATATATATATGTGTGTGTGTGTGTGTGTGTGTGTGTGTGTGTGTGTGTGTGTGTGTGTGTGTGTATGTGTGTGTGTGTGTGTATGTGTGTGTGTGTGTGTGTGTGTGTGTGTGTGTGTGTGTATGTGTGTGTGTGTGCATTTGCATGCATGCACTGCTGCGTGGTGTGAACTGTTGCTGTTTCATACACAGTCGCCTATTGAGATACGTGCCTTCAGCCTGGAGCCAGGGCGCCATCGTCCCCTTTTCGTTGGTATATCCGGCTACACTGTTGGACCCCCTCCGGTGGAGGTATTTGAAACGTCAAGCTGCTTCGAATCAGACCAGCTGTCCACGATCACGTTTGCTCTGGATGCGCAGTACCGTAGCACACGTGCAGTGCGCAATGCTGTAGCGAACGCCGTCTCCTCCACGCTGGGAGTCTCGACGGACCGCTTTCACATGACGGTAAGCCAGAGCTTCACATAGTGTGTGTGTAGGTGTGGGCACTCAACTACTGAAAAGAACTTCATTGAAAATCCAAGATGATCCGGAGTAGAATAAGAGTAGTGGTAGTAGCATAAGCGGTAATGTGAGAAATATCCATGGATGACCATGCCTATACAGAACAGGTTATTCTTAGGTTACCAAGCCCACAGGAAATGCAGACCGTAATTATTGAAAAAGAAATATAAATAATGAACTCGGATGGAGAGCCAAGGATGAATTTACAGAAAAGAAAAGGACCAAGGAACTCCAAGTTACGCTATAATGTCGTTGGTCAGTGTCGTGCAATGTTATCGCATGAGCTGATTGTTTAGTAACTGGTGGTGTTTAGTGGACATCATAGCGTAACTTGTAGTTCCTTGGTCCTTTTTCTTTTCTATAAAATTATATAAATAAAGAAAAGAAAAATTTAAAGAAAAAATAAATTTACCAAGCAATTCCAACAAAATTGAAGAATGTGCTGTTATTGTTGGTGCCAACCTACAGATCACGAAGATGACATTGATCTAAAATTAGTAAAAATGATGATCGCGTACCACGACGCAAATCCTATGGACTGTAAACAATGCATGCAACAAGAAAACGACGAGCAGAAAGAAACACAATACAGAAAGGAAAAAATCGACGAAGAGAGTGGATGAGGATATGGTAGTTCACTTGCGTGGGCCTCCGTGGTTCTTCGTAGCAGACGATCTCCGAAGGCGTACACACTCCACCAGCGATGTAGACGTGGACGTTTTCCGCTGCCACCAGCGTTAGCTCCCGGCTAAATGAAGTCCCCTCGCGTCAGAGCACAGGAATTTTATAGTATTGAATATGGAAGTATTTCGACAAGAGTGTAGACAAGAATGAAAAGGAGAACAGGACAACGACAACTCAAGACAACACTAGAGATCCACTGGAGCATGCGCTCTTCTATACGTGGGTGGCTCTCATTGCCAAGGGGAACGAGCGGGAAATACGAATAGTGAGTATGTACAGGTCGTAGCATAAATACATGTACACCTATTACACAAATATGAAGCCCTACAGCCTCGAAAACAAGACTTGGTGACAAACCACTTGATGAGTAGGAACGAGATGGAGGTTCTCAAATCAGTGAGACATAACTAGTGATTAGGTCAGGCCAAGATTCTTTGCTATTGTAAGGCCTACCGAATTCTTTAAAGCACGGGAGCACTCCTGCTCACACATGCCGTGAGTTGTGAATACCAATGGTATACATGCACCACGCTTAATATTGAGAACTCGCTGCAAGTATGCACGCTTCTTCTGCTGCCCATTTCTCGACAACTGCGCAAGGACCTCCGCTCTCGACAGCAAGGATACTGAGGGATGGGTTACACTAACATCGAAAACTGCATCTTGCTGCGGAGACCAGAGGCCTCTTGCACGGATGCCGAGGCGATCATCCGGTTGTCGGCTTGCTGTGGCTCCAGGAAGCACCGCACTGTCCACCGGGATCAGTGGGGGCTCGACCTGGACATCAGGGATGACACTGCTGAAAGCATCCGAGAGGAAATCCCAAGGCAAACATGGCCATTGCGAGATGATCGCCTTGACATGTGCCCTCCCAGGAGTGTATCATAACACGAGGAAGAAATAACGGGATCCCATCACCGTATGTGTTCCAACACCTGTGCCAATGATTAATGGTGGGCACAAGCGCGAAATGTTATGCAACGCGGCTTTCCGATTTACTGCATTGAAGGCATTAGATGCGTCAATGAGCTGGATCGCATCAGCGTCGTCGCTAAGGTAATGATCTTGGACAACACACTCGGCCGCCTCACATGCTGCCGGAACGCCGACACAGAGTTGATGAGGAATCACCGCTTCTGCAATGTCCGCAGAGACACACTGGAGCATTGCCTTGGCGATGATCCTTCGATACACTTCGCCGACAGCAAGGGGATGGACATCCGGGTTTTTGTCCAAAGCCACCAAACGCGCAGCTACAAATGCCACCAAACCAGCACCTCCGACCCGATCCGTGCACAGCTTCCGCGCGGCAGCAGCCATGGCAGCAGCAAGGCAGGATGACGCACCCTTGAAGGAGGACAGCATCCGTTGCCAAGCCTGCACATCAAGGCCAGATGGTCCTCCCAACCCTTTCATCCGCCCAGCGACTTTCTTAATGGCCTCTGCTGTGATGGCTTCAAAGATAGTGGTGTCAGGTTCCAATGGCTCACCAGGGAGGAGAACACATGAGGGAGGCTCAGCCGGGGCGGGATGCTTCTTCCGTGAGGCCTCCTTCACAGTCTCTCCAGTGTCAGCATTCGACACATCGTGTGGATTTAGCGGCAGTCCACCACTCTTCTCAGCTAGGCCATTGAGTGCCTGATGGAGCCTACCGCTATGAACGAGTTTAGCAAAGTGTGTATCATCCATTGCATCACCATCACCATGACGACCAGGCGCCACTGGTAGATGAGCCTACAGGCAACAACCCTTCCGCAGCAATGCGGCGAGGTCACCCGAAATCCAACACGTGAGGCGACGCTGCAAATGCTCAGCATGATCCTTGCTCTTGCTGTGACGGCTCGGAAGCTGACGCGGCAGATGGCATGCCACAGCCATGCCTTCCCATGCCACACGGGCAACAGTGGTTGATGTCACGAATTCATTGAACACTCCACTACTAATATACCGTCCATTCATCCAGTAGTAGTGAGTTTTTCATTCGACCCAACGAGACCACACGACGCTTGCAGACAATAGTGCACACAGTTCACCAGCCGCACTCCACGATAGCCAGTAGTGTCACAGTCCTGGCAAGTCTTGTTTTGTTCCACAAGATGAAAGGAGCTCATCCTGAGAGAGGAACCTATTCTACACTATTCCATTTGTGTTGGTCACCAGGGGTAATGCGGCCTCGCCGGGTCGAATGAAGAACTCATGACTACTGCATCCGGGATGGACGGACCAGGTGAAGGTGGCAACAACAAATTATAACTGAAGTATATAGCGCCGGAGCAGGCTGCATGGAGTAACTTAGGATCGAGCAAGCAGCAAGCAGCAAGCAGCAAGTAGTGAGCAAGCAGCAAGTAGTGAGCAAGCAGAGGCCAGCAGGAGCGAGCTACACGCTGCAGTAAGGAAAGCAACAGTGGAAGCAGCCGGTCGGAAAGACAAAAAGGAAAAGAAAGAGCAGCGCACTAATGACCATTGATGAGAAAATGTGGTAGAGGCATGTGCCAGGTTGGCTGCACATGTGATAGTGAATGTGCACAGTAAGCATGAACTTCCAAGTGCATGCCTGTGCTGCATAGTAGTGAGTAGCAGTATCTGTACGCGGGGGTCACAGGTCTCACCACACATCATGCTGCATTATGGGTGCCGGCACTGGTACGACAGGTACAGCAGTGGCCGCGTACCAGCTGCTTTTACCAAGTCCAGCTTTGCATGGAATGTCCATCGTCGCAATTAAATTATGTTAGTAAAGTGTGCATGTCTGTGTCTCCACCCCTGAGCTATACAATTGTGTTGAGAAACTTAACTTGAAAATTGATCCTTGTTTGGAGGGAAGCAAACCAAGACGCGAAGCACAGAAGCCATGTAGTTTCGACTAGGTATTTTGTAACCGTACTCAGTTTCAAGTCGAATACAGTGGTGATTGAAGCCACAGCAAGCAAGTGCATAAGTCCGGCACTTTGGCAGTCAGAGCAGTGACAAAAGTAATGTGGAAGTACGAATGTCCTCGGATGCTGCTCGCTAGAGTCTCTCCCTCCTAAACTGTTCTTCTTGGGCTTTGAGGTCTACTGTGCTAGCTGCTTATCAGTTGCTAGCAGAATGTGTAGCTGACACAGCCATAAGTATAATATTATTATGATGCGACATAGAGCTGAAGATGCATCCTCCCATCGACTGTAATCAAGCATGGGGAAGTGATATGTAGCGGCTCACCTTAGGCAGTACTGTAAAACCAGAAAATTTCGGTGGAGATTCATTTTCGGTAACTTCGGTACAGATAATTTTCACCTAAATAAAACGCGTCCTAAAATTCAACCATGCCATGCCACATGGTGTGCAAAATACATTTTTGGATCTGGAAAACCGGTTTAAATTTCCGCGCTACCGAACCGTTGATTGTGGGAAATACCGAAAATATTACACCACCGAAAATTCCCGGTTTTTCAGTACCACCCCTCAGCAGCTGGCTTCTGGTTTGTGTACAAGATAGGAGGTAATACATGGGTGTATGATGTGTTGCAATACAACGTCATGGCATTATTGTTGAATACTTGGGATAACTGTGAGAAGGAGAGCTCTGTGCCAGTGTCTTTACCACCATATTTATCAACTGTGAGGTCTTGTATCACGGCATTATGCTTTTACTGGTGTGTGCAATGGGAAGTAGCGTGCTTTACGGTACGACTGACATCGAACAGCTCTCCCCGGTGTTAAGGCCGATGAACTTATTATCACAATGTGTCAGTTAAACTTATTAAAATAACGGTTCAACTGACACATTGTGTGAAAGTCTGGCATTAGCCCGGCTGAAATTGTATGGCAAGCACATTGTAGCAAGCAGCCCAGTTCATGAGTTCCTTTGCCATTCTTCTCTCCTGTGTGTCCTGCTCAGCTATTTCCTGGCAGAGATAACCTGCTCAATGTGATTGTCAGCATCCAAGACTTGCCCAGCGTCGGTGATTCGTCATTACTGGCAACTCTGCCCACACTGCAAACGGCAAGGCAGAAGCTGCGCGATGCCATCAAGGATGGTAAGTTCAGCCTTCCTCTGCCCAGCGCCGGCACAGTAAAAGCCAAGAGCACGTCCTACAAGTCCTCGTACGAATCATCGTCCTCGTCCACATCCTATTCGCCGGCTGAGATGGCCGGAGTCGGTGTCGGCGTTCTTGTGCTTGGCTTCATTTGCGGAGTGATCCTCGTGCATGTCGTGGTGCGCGCTAAAGGCGATAGCGTGCCTTACGGCAAGGAATAGAACGCCTAGAGGTGCAAGACGCACAGGCCTCCATCGCCTAGAACTGCCCGGCGGTCTCCATCTGACTACTGTAGTTCATCCCTGTTGCACTCCCGTTGCATGGCACAGGCAGTCTGCCACACAACTCCACGGCACCTTGCTTGACAGTACGGGTGTTGCCACTGCTGCCGCTTCAATGCCAGCAAAAGGGCTCATGCATGCATGCATTTGCATGCGTGTTTTTTGTACAGTGTCCAATTTTTGCTGAGCAGCTGCTCCGAATGCTAAAAGTCGCTTTGGAAGTTCTTCAAGGTATTCACGTGTTGGATGAGGCATTCTCCTGCAGAATTTGAAGAATTGAATTTTAGTCTATTTCTTTTTAATTCTTGAATTTTTATTTTATTTTTAGCATGCTACATCATGCGGCAGTATCTTGCCTCATGCCGCAATTTCAGCATGGCATTCGTGCAACGGTCTCGTATATTTTACTGTCATCACAGGCGCTTAGCTCCACCGTTGGAGGTGGTCTGGCCGGAGGGGGGTCCGGGGCCGGAAAACTTTTGAAATTAGGGTGCAAAGTCCTGCCTTCTGGGCACTTTTGTGGTCGGGCCGGACCGGCTGCTCAGTGACGCCCCTGCATCAAGAGTACATAACCAGAAGGTTGCCACTCGCGACAATCTCTAAGCCCCGGACAGGATTTGTTATGGCATTAGATTGGGTCAGGCAAGGTGGTTTTGTGCACTTACCTGGCCGTAGGGCTCATATTCCCATACTAAGTTTGGCCACTTCCGTCTTTTCAAGTACCTAACTCTGCCAAATGGGCTCATAAAATCGTGAACATTTTCAGCAGGGATCTCCCAATATGCAATAGGCCCACACCAAAGGAATCTTAGAAAGGTGACTCAACTGCCATTATTGGCAATTGAACTGCCCAACGGCCAACATCCCTGACGCTCCGGACATCCCCAAACCCTGAGTGGACTTCTCAGTAAGCGGAGCGAGGATAAGATGAAGACAACTAAAAAAAGGGATTGGTGGCATCAACGTTACCGGGATCCAACTTCCATTAATTTTACCCCTGCCCCTGGTGAAGGTACATGACGATTGACTGTAATACTGGATACTGCAGTGCGGATTGCTAAGTCACAGTTGATCTGATAGGTTTCACTAGCACCACTGATTACAGAAGAGGTACTGGCAATGTAGCCAGAAGCAGTCCATTCGTCAACAGGTTTATGCACTCTGAATAGAAAGTAAATCGACCCTGAAACCATTGAAAAAGGTGGCAGGTACAACGATACGCCTTCAAACAGCCGAGCCCGATGGCAGCAGACCCAGCCACTATCTGGCATAAGTGCACCCACCAACCGAACTAGCTGCGCTGGTAAACATGCACACAGATATAGACACACACCACCCACCCCTACACCTCACCTCAGACATGCCCATCGCGGAAGCGATGGTAGCGAACAGCTATGTTAGACATAGCAACTTGTGCTGGAATTACACCATTCAACAGCTTGTAAGGCTGATGAATTGACCGCCACTATACACACACACACACACACACACACACACACACACACACACACACACACACACACACACGCGCACACACATAGGGGCTCAGAAGGCATTGGCTTTGATCCGGTTATAAGGAGAATAGGGTCTAAAACAAAACAAAACCAGACAAAAATAGCGGCTAAACGGCAGACAGAGGCTTGCACGTATAGATACACACAAGCTGGATGGCCATACATAAGAAGTATGTACATTGTTGTACAGAGAAAGCACGCACACTCTCTCCAGAGATGTCCCGAATTTATAGGTCTAAACTTCATGCATTCAGAGCCGAGTTTAACGTTACCGCAATAATTATTAAGTTTAGGTTGATGTCCTGAGTGAACAGCACGGTGTGTAGAGTTAAAAACCGAAAAAGACACCAGGCAGAGAAAACAATAGAAACACGAACAGGGCACAATTCAGAAGCAGTTTGAAAGCCAACCAAGAGCCAATGAAACAAATCTTCAGATAAAATAAGCCAGGATTTAGGAAGATCGAGGAGGAAGCAGAAAACACTTCATACAGGGTGGTAACGATTTCCAACGGGACAATAATGCCCAGCCGAATAGCAGTCTGCACGAACAGGCAACATGTACAGATGTGAAACTGACCAAGAGCACAAGCAGAAGTTAACTGCACTCCTGTCCAATACGTAGCTCTGAGACTGATCCTAAAGCCCGCAGGACACAACTCCGCCTCGACGATAACTAGCATCACTGACGACGAGTCAAGGCTAAGAAAAAACCTCAAGGTTACACTACGCAGAGAGCCGAAAGCAGGAGAGGTGAATGGAGAGCAGGCGCCCGCGGAGGAACGGTTGCACAGCAAAGCGTTTGTAATGTCTCGATGACACACACGCATATTCTACTTGTAATGGGGTTTCTGCTGTCCTTTCGGGCGCGAGCCATTCATCTGCTGCTGCTGCTGATGACGCTGGGCGGCCTGTAGCTGATACTGGTAAGCCAACGGATGAATCTTAAATCCGTATAATCTGTACAGGGTACATACCACATGCACAAAGCCACATGCACAAAGGCACATGCACAAAGGCACATGCACAAAGCAAGCAAAAACAAACACTCCATTCAGACGAAAGCTGCTTGGACTAGACGTAATCCACGTTCAACAGATTCGGTGCACACTGCGGACACAGATTTGCCAAAACTCCAACCCACAGCTGACTGAGTTTTGTTCGACATGTTGGTATTGCACCACTCCACATCAGCCGCAGCAAGGGGTCAATTTCAAGAGTAGCCTGCAGAGCATTGTTCTATTAGCAAGTCTACGGACAGCCCACAATCATCCAAATCCAACAATGCTTTAAAACAGCGGCAATGGACATGAGTAGGACAGTCTGGCACAAGCACATGTGCGGTCAAGAATGTACACATCCCTATACACCGCCTGCACAATCAATAGTTACTATTAGTAAAGACGACTGCACAACCTGTGCGATCTCGCAGTCCTGATGCAGTTACCACTGCCATTGTTGACTACAGAAAAAAGCTATCATTCTATGTTGCAACCGTATCGGCTGCAGCAACAGAAGCAGCATCACCATGATCACCAGCATCACTGACCTGGGTACAAAGCTGTTTGGGTTCTTCTGCGGCCGGAGTTCCGGGTGCACCATAAACAGCATGTGTGGAAATCCGGAGCCAAAGTAGCAGCCATCAACATGGTGGTGCCGAGATGATTTGGGCGTGTAGACGTCTTCGCATTTAGGGCAATACAACTTGACCATACTCTCCCCTGGCATGTCGGATAGGCCTAGGCGAAAGAAAAAGGAAACATCGTTTACAGAAGAAGTTGCAGAAATCTCATCAGGCAGTACCAAGAATCCATAACATTACATACCTATCGCTGATATGCGTGAAATTTAAAGTTACAGCTACTCACCCTTTCGCCTCTGTTGTGTGTCAAACATTATACCTACATGTAGAGTGTGCAACTAGGCATCTATGCTGCATAACACCACTCCCACGGCTAGGCGGTTTTAACTAGAAGTCGTAGGAATCACAGCCAGCCTGCCACAGCAGTGGAAGACCACGGTAGCCCAGGTGAATCAATGTTTTTACTTCAAAGCACCGTTTCCCCGCTTTCAAATTGATACGGGCTTTCTTTCTTTTTCTCGCATTCCAGACTTCCCTAGGCCAACTGCCAGTGTTAATTTGCCTTCAAGAGTCCAACACCTTAATTAAAAGAAAGACCGTATAAAAAAATCCTTGCAGTGGACAATTTGTATTGTATTTTATTATTTTACTTGGGCATTCACAACAGACCCCAAGGTCTTCTTACAGGGTGCCCGGACAACATGTGCAGAGGGAGAGGGCAACGGGTGCTTACCAATAGGTAGCACGAGCTGATTCTCACAGAATACCCGGCTGCAGTGTCCAAAATCACCCTGGTGGTACTTCTCAATCTGAACAAGACAACGCACAACAGGACACCGCAGTTGAGAGGCTGCACAACAATTTATCGCTTTATTCGGTTGGCCATGATGTGGCTCATTACCGCACGGACGAACAGAGACAAAAGCTACAGTGTAACTTCAGTATAAGGTACTCCGGGTACAAGTACTATGGCATGCAGAGCACTACAAGTATACTGGAGGACCCTCTACTAAGTTCGGGTAAAAAGTGCCTTGGTTAAAAACTACAGAAGTGTACGGTCCTTGAAGGTACGTCACATTGAAGTTTCACCGTATTCAAATAGTTGTCAAATACATGCAGCATGTCAGACCAAAGCATCCAAATACCAGGCTGTCCACCTGTTAGCAGGATCCCCTTGTATTCATCGCAACGCTCGTGCAAACTTGTCCATCAGCCATTGTCTTTCACACTAGAATAGTGGACTCCATAACAGCACACGAGCACTAATCTAGAGTAGGCAAAGACACCGGGGTAGCAGTATGATACAACCCTCAACAGCCAGTCAAGACGCACAGCCCGATAGCAACACAGCACAGGCATGTGCCGCTTTGGCAATGGCAGTGCGGGACGGGCTGAAGACCACATGATCAGCAGGCCACCTTACGTACCATTTGCGAGATGCCACGATTGGTCATTATGTACCGTGCATGAATCAGGCCATACAGCATCTCGGCAGCCTGTTCGATGAGGTCACTCTGGCTTGGGTTATCCTCCATCTCGTCATCTACAACAAATAGAAAGAGAGAAAACCACCGAACAACACATCACCAACGAATGCTACAGTATAAGAATCTTCTAATTACAGTATTCAGGGAAATTGAGCTTGATTAAGAATATGCATGATCGAGGAGGAAGAAAGAGAGAGAGAGAGAGGGGGGGGGGAGAGAGAAAGAGAGAGAGAGAAAGAGAGAGAGATAAAGATAGAGAGAGAGGTGGGCAGCAAACACATGTCACACTGGTGTGCAAAGCCATGCATCATACACGTACCACGGGTTGGTTCGAAGTCTAGAATCATATCCAGTGCGGCACGGTAGTGAGGCACATGCTCGTTTAGTCCAGTCAAGTTGAACTTATCCTGAATGTAATCTTCATCAACCTAAGCAGCAGATATCGGACACACAGAATAGCGTAGTGATCAAACGTCAGTATAAAGTACATTGGATATAACATACACATACTATCTAGAGTACATAACCCCAAGAGTATGCAACTTGCATACGGGGTCTGGCGCGGTGCGCTGCCCACACTACGTAGCCACAAACTGGGGAATCAGGTCGGCATCGCGTCATTATTGCTCTGCTACGACTTTCATGTCCAAGTCAACTTTTCTCTGAGACGTCGGATGGTTTTGTATGGGATGTGTTGCGCACTGGCATTGCCTTCGAACCTACCGTAGTATGATTGTGTAAACTTGTTGCTGCTAAACTGTAAGAAAACTCAAATCCAGGCCGCTGGATGGTCACTTCACTACGTAATGAAGGCAGCGCGCCACACAAAGTACCCATAGCTTGCAGATTAGAGTCGCACACCCTTGGGTGTACAGACTCGTCATACTAGTGGTGTTCTGCTCTACGTTTATACGGGATCGGAACGTGAAGAATCCCGGGAACTCTCTTCGCGCTCCCGAAACGTAAAGAAAACCTGTTCTGCTCTACGTTCACGTAGAGAAATCACGTGGAATGTGTACCGAGAATTTCCCCTTCCATATTTGGCAGTTTTCTGCCTGCATTTGAATGATACCCAGCAGATCCGTACACATTTTCTTTGCGTGTGCCACAACGTAGAGACCCTTATCTACGCGTAGAATTCTGGACCCAAAACACGCAAAACCGTGGACTCTAACTCGACGCCTGCTCTCTACGTGATTTCTCTACGGTTCACGTATAGCAGAACCTCTCTACTACGGAATACTTATCATAAAGTCCTAAAAATTGATGACTCTACATACATGTATAGCGGGTTGCTTGGCTACAAAGTACAGGCTTTACCACCCTTGGAGTTACTTCGAACACCACCTTAGGATGATACGGCTGGAAGGAGCGCAGAATAGGAGTGCTGTAAGCTGGGAAACCTTTTTGCGATCGAGAAATGTTCGCAGTTTTCGCGATGGGTGCCCATTGTGTAAAGATGGTGACGAGGCGGCGGTTGCACCCTGGAGTAGCACCCAGGTCCTGCATGGCAAGGATAATTGCCGATATAGTGTTACTGACCCCCAAGATTGATAGTGTTTTCTTGGAACACTACTTGGCTCATGTTTGGCGCGGGTGCGTCGCAACACCAGCGGCACGCGAGAAAAGTCAATGGGGTTTGCATAATACAGGTTCAAGTCCGGGTAGTGTGAGTCCTGCACAGCATGCTAGTTCTCTATGATAATTAAAAATATCTCGTTCCCTGCCAGTTGTGTTCATCTACAGAACATAGCATTTTCTAATTCTTGGTTCCTGTAGCCAGCTACTATCAAGACTCCACTTGCCATGTACAGCAATGCTTTCCTCCTAGCATTCTTGCTCTATGCAAGATATGAAAGGGTTAATGAATCGTACAAATATCCATAGCGCTAGATATCCGATATGCCTCAATATTTCAGTACTGAAGTTAACGCTGATAAGGTTGATTGACAGCAACAATAATTGCTGTGTCAGTTGAACCAACATCTAAACACACGGCGTGTGAATCTCACCTCACAAAAGTATTCATTTCCACGTAGGCTGCAGAACCAGGATATCCACGATACCTCCTCAGAGCTGCTCATTGTGACCAGTCGGTGGACGGTATATCAAGCTATATCCGATCAACTAACCAAAACTGTATTCAGAAAGACACAGTTTCGAACTAACAACGCGTTGCCCAATAGACCAACTTCATGCGGCAAAAGTTTTTCCTCTTGCTAGCAAGAATGAACCACACGAAAAGTTGGTCTCGGCAGTGTGTCTATTAATCCTTTCATGCCCAGCTCCTGGCCTGGGTTCTCCGTGACAAACCGAACAAGAAGGACGCAAGCAGCAAGAGTGTTGCACTTTTTTCACGAGGTCCACTATTTTGGTTTTCAGGTTTTCAGGTTCGCGACGCGCTTCATCGAAAATCTTGCAAAATCTTGGTCTATCGATCATGACGTAACGTTGCTAGAAAAGACGTGAATCGTCTGTCATGGAAAACGTTTTTCGCTAAAACATCGAATGATGGCGCCAAACCAGCATGCATGCACTCGATCGACCATGCGATCCACAGCATGGGTCGAGCATTCAGCAGCATACTCCTAGATCCTGCATAGCATGCAGGCACAGACCGAGATACACACGCTAGAGCAAGGATATCGGACAACGAAGCCAAAGCTTTCATTTCACACTGTAGTTTTTCTTAGAAGTTTCGTGAGCTTGGCTTGCTTTGGAGCTTCTGCTTTAGAGTTTTATTGACAGCCCTGTAGTTTCATTTCTATTTGCTCCTCCCTCACAAAATGGCGGAGAAACCAGAAGATTTGAATTTACCAGCGTCAGTCGTCACTCGTATCATGAAGGAAGCTGTGAGTCTACGTTTTGACCAACACATTCTCTATATTTCAAGTTTCTTGAAAATGGGCTTCCTTAATCAAGTCACTGGTGATACATTTCATTCACTTTTATGTACGACGTTACTGGAATTCGCTTACATGTACTTCTACAATAATTATTAGTCTCGTTCTCTCTTTCTGCGTATAATTTTATTGCAAATTGGCAAATGTATGGGGGAAAGTACCGTATTTCCTCGATTAATAGACCCGGTCTTTTGTTTTTTGAAGAGGGTTGGACCCCGGTCTCTTATTTGGGCATGGTCCATTATTTGAGCACGGTCCACTATATTTTCATCGGCACATAGCTAGAAATGGTGGATTTAACACGTCATAAATATAGAAGTTCTATATTATGACGTGTTAAAAATCCACCATTTCCAGCGATGTGCCGATGAAAATATAGTGGACCGTGCTCAAATAATGAAAGAAAGCACTAGCCACTACAAAAATTGTAGTTGCGCAACCTAAAATCGCGTCCTTTTTTGATCCACCACGTGCTTTCTTAGTGCGCAAAGCAATGAACTCAAATAAGAGACCGGGTCTCTTATTCGGGCATGGTCTACAATTTTTCCGTGAGGCCTCTAGGAGGGTCTACTATTTGAGCATGGTCCATTAATCGAGGAAATACGGTATGCCTAGGTTCTTGAGATTGGGACGGGCAGATTATTGGTGCATGTGCAGTGTCTGGGATATAAGAGCTTTACACCAGGCAAGACAAAAGTCCTTGATGCCAACTATCGTCCTTTTTCGGTGAGGAAACATTACAGTGGTCTCGCACCCGGACCCCGAAGAGCGCACCGATCGATCCTAGGGGATGTTCATATTTCTTGCGGCTTGAACGTACATGCTGTATACTGCTATGTTGTTGTTTGGAGTACTTATAGCTTGGCCATTTGTCGGCATCGTGCTCTCTAGTGCGCGTTCGGACATGGCTCGTGCTTGTCACCAGGCCACAGCCAATGAGAGGCAGGAATAAGCGGGCCGGGACAGCTAATCTCCTAATCACTTACTCTGTACATGATGCGGTGAGACGGCTGCTCATGGCTGCCAGGGTGTCTTAGCATCTAGGAAGACGACACAAATGACTGGAACGTTTAATGCTCCCCGGCTGAGCATTCCAGTCCCCCATCAAGGCCGATTCATGCACACTAACTCTTGCATAATACGTCGCTTTTGTGGGCCACATGCTGTGTTTGGGGTCATCAGGTCATGGCCGTGATTGCCAGTTGCATAGATCACGGAGAACTTCTACAGTCGACTCCACTTATAACGAACGCGCATATAGCGAACAGTTTTCGCTTATAACGGACCACATCTTGGAGGGCTGCATGTAAACCAAGTGCAGTCGTACTGTCTTGGGGCACATGTCAGTCATGATTTGCTGCTTGTATAGTGCGAGTGCATTTCTGTTATAACGAACTTCGGCTATAAAGAACTGATTTTCCTGCACAATGGTGTTCGTTATAATCAGGAGTCGACTGTAAATGCGGTGTTGAAACGCACATTGTTTCGGGTACTATGGCCTTGATTGCGGTGGCGTTCCTATAATGCATGCGGAAAGTTCAGTCTGACTGCTGAGTGTCGCGCGCACCATAAATGCTTTCTTGCGGGCCCTGCGTAACCTTTTCCAGTGATTTGATCTTGGATGTATGCTACCTGGGCTATACAGTAGAGATTTGTATGTACCCTGGAGGTACGCTATTACATGTACTGTCGGGCGCCAAAGAACAGAGCGCCGAATAACGACCAGGCTAGAATTTCACCAAACACAGCATACCAATGTATAGACCTTATTCGATAACGTGATTTTTGGACTCGCCTCCAGGGATTTGTCATAAGCTAGGGCACGCGTACGAGAAACGAGTGGCAAGAAAGGCCCAGTTCGTACAAAAGAGTAGTAAAATACCGGTATTTATCTACTCCTATGTTCGCACACAGAGTCCACTGTGCACTGAGCGCAGATCTCTTGCCACTCCCTGGTTCCCGGGACCCCGGTTCACGTGATTGTGACGTCTATCGAATAAGGTCTATACACAGTGACTCAACTGTGCATAGACTGTAATACATGAAAATAAGAACGGTCTAAGCTAGGAGGCTGACCACCCCAGTTCTTCGGCGACTGACAGTACTATGGTATACTGAAGTTTCACTACATGTGTGTGCCTGAAGAGTGAATAGGCAAGGAGGGTGCCTTGCGCGCGGTGGTGCTTTGGGTGGTCGAATTTTATCCTTGTTTGCACTGGCTTGTCTCCGGGTTGCATGTGTTTGTGTTGCGCTTGGCAGATTCCAGACGGAGTTGCTGTCTCGAAGGAGGCTCGGCAGGCGATCAGCAAGGCTGCGAGTGTCTTTGTGTTGTACTGCACGGCATGGTGAGTAACTTTCTAGATTCGACTTCTTCTTTTCAACGCTGCCGATCTAAAGTACCAGTGAATTTCGACCTCGTGGATAAGTAGGTGCCGCATCCCTAACACCCTAGCGCCACAAACTGTGTGCTGTGCACTCGAACATGACGCTACTTTATTCACGAAGTCGAATTTCCCTGGGCAGCTCTTTATGTTGGCTGCTGTATCTGGTCGAAGTGTCCCACTGTATGCTGTGTGGCGAAGGGCACCCTTCACAGTTCACAACGCCTTTCGGACGAGCCACTGCGGAAAAGTTTCCGATCACCCTCGCACTGCGCCCGTCACAAGAGAAGCACGCTAATCTGCAAGTGCACTGGGTGATCATGTATACCCACTTATTTTCTCTGGTGGCAATGATGGCGGGCAAGATCTGGCTCTACTACTAGTAGATCAAGATTTGCACGTGATCATGTTCCCAGTTGGAGCACGGCTAGGCCATCTGACCGCTTCTTATCTGATCATGGAGTGACTTGACATGCTTGCCGTTGTGTAGAATTGCTCGTTTCAAGGCTTTCATATTTCTCCAGCTGGTCTCTTTCTGATATGTCTTGTTGCTTCGCTGGCATTGCAGTGCTAATTCACATGCGACGAAAGTCAAGAGAAAGACGTTGTTGGGTGCCGATGTCCTGGCGGCCATGGGTGATATGGAATTTGAACACTTTGTTCCTGACCTGAAAGACAGCTTGGCAGGTATGTACTTCTGCGTTGTATATTATATATTTTATGTGGCTTTAAAAATTGAAAACTATGAAGAACAGATGCAGATACTATTCACAGTCTGCGCATGTGCTGCATTAAGGTTCTTCATTGTGGTGTTGAAAAAATTATTGACGTTTCAGGCCAGTCACCTATCTTCAGATTCAACCAGTAAGTTTCCGTTTTATTGTGGCCTGCTCACTTCGATCGGCTGTATTGATCAAGATTTTCCGGAGTTCTGAGCGTTTGAACCAAATCTCTGTATTACTATTGTGCCCAGCCCTGTGCCTTCTCCACACTCCTACAATGGAGAGTACAATTGAAAGACTACATTGACAAGAAGAGATGACAAAAATAAGTGGACAAGGAGCTGCAGTAACTGCAGGCAATAGCTGACATAAGACTGTCCTAGAAGTAAACAAAGCAATGCCTTGCTAGGAGAGTGCGGTGTAATATGAATGCGAACGAAAGTCACAAGAGAAAATGCAAAGGTTGCAATAGGAAGCGCATTACAATGTAGGCACAGTCAAACCTCGCTTTTCCGGTCCTCTTTTACCCGGATCCCTCGCCATCCGGAAGAAAACCGTTGGTTACCGATTTACAGCATATGCCATGCAGACATACAGTATGTGTGTTCGATTATCCGGTTCCCTCGCCTATCCGGATCTTTTTGTGGAAAACGGATGTGTGCGGTTATGCGAGGTCTGACTGTACAAGTATGGGACTTAGCATCAAACTGGTGTTGCTACTCGATGGGTTCATGTACATGTACTCCTTTCCGTGGATGTGTTGCCACGATCTGGTCCTAACGGGTCTCCACTTGTGCTGGGTCATGTGCAGAATAAATAGAGAGCTACAGTCAAATCTCTTCAGGACGAACACCAAGGGATCGATGATATTTGTTGTCGCAATAACGGGAGTTCTTCTTATCCACAGTTTTTTCACTGCCAATACATGTACATGATATCGGTAGCGACTTTGGAGATGATTACATAGGGAAAGTGTTTGCTCCCCACATGGGTGGCAGTCGTGAGTCAGTCAAGTCGGCTGACAGCACGAGCTCCGGTGTGGCGGAACACTTTTTCCACAGTCAACACACCGTGATTTATCCAATGGAGTTCTGAATACTACTAGTTCTGCTGAAGCGAAAGTTGGCCTTCTCAGTGTTCTTCTTAACCAGGTTTCACTGCATGTCGTATGAAGCTTGGCGTGCATACATGCGTGGCAAGCCGCAGTTAGAGAGAAAAGGAACCCGACCAACCGACCCTATTCGGCTGTTGCAGCTGTGTAGTGACCTGGATTGCTAGTACAGTAAAAACCTGTAACTAAAGAGCACCGTGACTAGCAACCAACCTGGTACTACAGACTACTGCGCCAGGCGCGGACGGTCTCACATTCATATAATATTATGGTTGTGCGGTGCAAACCTCTAACTAAGGACCACCTGCCACTAAAGACCGCTTTCTCTGGCCCCTAGGGGTGGTCTTTAGTCACAGGTTTTACTGTGTAGCTACAACAACACCAATGACTCAGATGAAGAGCAACTGAATATTACTTTAAGAGGGGGTGTAGTTTTGCACTGCTCTCATTCATGTCACGCCTAGTTGTGTCCGTGCACGAAACGTTGGTCTCTTTCCATGCAGTGTTTTGCCCGTCCTAATAACATTATTCTCATACATGATGGGTGGTGGTGTTCGTTCAATGCCGTTGCCTTCTTGTCTGGTTTCTTCCTCCTCGTAGCATTTCGCAAGGACCAGCAGGAAAAGAAGGAGACGGCAGCAGAGCGGCGCAAGGCTGCTCAAGCAGCGGCTGTTGGTACTGGTTCTACGTCCGGTGAGGCTGACTCTGCGGCGACCAACGGACAAGGCGCAGGTACTGTCTCTCCCGCCGGTGAGAATGGCATGGGTGCTGACGGCAGAGCAGATGAAGACGGCAACCCAGACGAGGTGTAAGCATACCCGTTCGCTCTTCATGATATGTAAGTGTGGCCGTGTGTCCGGCAGGATCATGGCTGGTGAGCTACCCTGCACTGGCGTTGTCTCCCCTTGACTTTCATTGCTACTGAACTCCGCTTTGTGGTGCAGGAGGTACTACGGGCCATGCTGATCTACCTCAGCTATGCCATCTTCCTCTGCATTCTAGTTGTCACCCTAACAGCTCCACAGCCTTGGTCCACACTCCTTGAGAATGGTTTTCCAGAGCTATTTTTATTCTTTCGCCTTACTGTACGGTTTTGGAAAACTGTGACGTAATGTGCGGTCTTAACCCTATGACTCTGAGAACTGTGCGTTTTCGATGCTTTTGGGGATGGTGACTTGTTGCCTATGCTGCATCGATACTTCTCCGTATGAGCTTGAGTTAGCCTTGCGCAGTATCTACCTGTTGCTGCTGGTGATGATCTTTTAATGGGTATGTATCCGTGTCTGTATGTAGTGTACTTAGCAATGTACAATTTGTACTAACGGCCTGTAAACTTTCAACACTTTAGGTAACGGCCTAGATGCTCTCGGATTGATTTTTTTTTAAATCTTGTGCAGCCCAGCTTCTTTGCTGCGATTGATGCGCAGTGTTGTATGTCTTGTCGCTTCTTCTGCCCATGCCTCTGGTCATGGGACATGGTATTTTTTTGGCCGCCATAACATCATTGCTAATAGGTGCGAGCGAATATATCTGGACTTTTCATTCTTTGGCCACCAGGGAGAACGTCCGCTACATAGGCTTGATGCAATTGTCTAAAAACTAACCGGGTGGTAATTGGGCACTTTTAAAGTTTATTTGATCGAACACGTTGTCATGGTTGTTGTGATCGCATAATTATACTAATTTTGGAAGCAGCCGGCCTTCTTTTTAGAATTACAAGCTAGGCCACCAGTCACGTCTGTCCAGCAGCTGGTACATGGTGGCTCTGGAATGCCAAGCAGCATGGCATGTGCATGTGCCAAGCATCGGTTTGAGCAAATGCACGTGTGAACATGCAGCCGCGTGCCGTGTGTGGGTGTTGGGGCCGGGGGGGGGGGGGGGGGGGGGGGGGGGTCGTGACTTTTGGGACATGATATAAATTGTACAATAGTGCATGGCAGTATGTGTGCTGGATGCTGCTTCACTTGATTGTTTGCTGGGCATGTAGTCCTGTCATACTACAAGTAAACGCAACAATCCTGAACGGCAGCTGCAGATTCAGCAACGACGTTACGTTATGCACTGCAACTTACACAGGTTTGCATGGACTACAACTCACTCAACTCTCAATAACAGCAACTGGCATTATGCTATCACTAATGTCACAGCTATGTAGCCACAATCTAGTCCAAACTACAAACACTGTAATTCCAAAAAGGAACCCTTGTGAAAATTACCGGTATGCCCGTGTACATGATGTATCCGAATGCCTCCCTCCGGAAATCGCAAAACGACTGGTCTTCCGGCACCGTTTTTTGTTACATTGTTGCGTGTCACAAAAAATGGCGCGGCGCGCCATACGACGCGGAATTTTCGTTCGACTTGCAAAAATAATTGTACAAAAAGGTGTCGGCACCACTCGCAAGGTCGGCGTCGGCACAAGCAAGATTGAACACCGTCCCGCCAGAGTCGTTCAAAGAGAAAGAAGCCGGTCGTCAAAGTGGACCACAGGTTGCTTACCACCACAGTTTTACTTCGTGACCTCTCCGTGGATCCAGTCAGGATGAGCGACGACTTGCTGTGGGCTGTGAAGAACGGCGACCTGGAACAGGTCAAGTCTCTGTCAGCGTCAGCTGATGTAAATGCTGTGTTGAAGAATGGCCGTATGGCGCTTCACTACGCTGCCGACTTCGGCCAAGCTGAAGTGATCGAGTATTTGCTCTCGATTGGAGCTAATGTGGATCTTGCTGATTCCTACGGTATCACCCCACTGCTTGCTGCGATCTATGAGGGTCATTTGGAGTGTGTGCAGCTTTTAGTGAAGAAGGGAGCCAACAAATCCCTGAAGTCCCCTGATGGTCGATCTTACGCAGAATGTGCCGAGGATGATGAAATTCGCCAGGCTCTTCAATAGTCACCTCCAAAAGCCAGCTGTTCTTGACACCATCCATCGTTGTACAGTAAGCTGAGGTTAGCGTGATTAGCATTTTATGTGTTTTCGCGGGACTTGTGCAAATCTAACTGAAGAGAACTGAGAGTATCGTTCATTTTGGCGATGCTAGTTGCCTTCGTCTTTTCAGCACTTACTTATCCTGCCATTTGAGCTGTCTCCGCCAAGTTTATGCTTACCCTAATTTAAGTTTCCGTACGAATTTTTACCCTCACAGGGATTTCATTTTTAGGTTCTCCAAGATGCTGTCATGAAAGATCCCAGCAAATAGTGTACAGTCATGTACAGCTATACCATGGTGGTGATTTTGTCTGTGCTATGTTATTGTATAGAGCCTTAGACTCCGAGGAGAATGAAAAGAGTATGAACATTTCATTTTATTGTTGGGAATTATTTCCATTTTTTGCACATCGTGGCCACCCCCGACTCAGATATGCACACCATTCTGCTGGACTATGGCGACAATTTGCTGTCTCTTTCTGACACTATCTCTGTGACGTATACCCACCCTGGCGTGTTGTTGGCGTTTCCGCGTACATTCGGGGATCGGCCTTGTGTCGAGTGACTTGCATAGACTTGGGTGGGCATCCTGGCCCAGTCGCCGTGTGCATGTGTTTGTTCGCTAGATTTTGCAATATCGGGGCACCCTTTGAGTGTGTTGATAGTTGAGTAGTATCTTTACTGTACATTTGGAGGGGCATCCTGGCCCAGTCGTTATATGCATGTGTTTGTTCACTAGATCCTCCATATGCAAGTATGTGCCGTTGTGCAGTGAGCTTCAGCGTGAGGCCTCACAACTCACAAGGTGTACCGCACACAATTATGTACAGTTTGTCTCAGCTGGGGATATTTTTCTGTGTTTGTGAGCACCTTTCGTTGTCAATGTGTCTGGGTCAGAGTATCTTGTGTATGCTACATGTACCGTGTATATGTGTGCTCCCGAATAGTACTTGCCATATGCGCTGTGTGCCAGGGACGCCCTGTTGAGTTTCTGTTCATGTTTGGCAACATAGGGTCCGTTAGAGGTGCAACGAGATGCCGTCGGACTCTCATGTTACCGTTAGTATTTGCTTGCAGTGTTCTTTCGCTGGCGAGACAAGGACTGCATTCTAAGTCATAGGTGTCTTTGTTGGGTTAGCTGCCTCTGGGCTACAGATCTTGTTGTGGCTTGTGTGACTTGTTATGGTTCTCATCAGGGAGTACAGTCGTCCCTCTCTAATCCGGCACCTTTTGCAACGGCGTTTTCTGCTGGATAAACAAGGGTGCTGGATTATCATATTCTGCCCTCCAACCCGGCCCACCTGTTAACGTACCTGTTGGTGTTGTACGTCAAAACGTAGGGATTTTCTGTGTCAATCCAAGTACTTTGGTGAATGCATGTCTTTAATTAACAAACACTTGGGAATATCCTGTGCGCTGGCATAGGATATTCCCAAGTGTATGTTACATGTGTTGTGCATGTTACAATGCTCCCTGACGGTTTGCGATGTAAAACTGCTGGATTAGAAAATCAAATTATGTACAGTTTGAGTGATTTGTTGCAGAAAATCGCTGCTGGAGGCTGGTCTTCCGGCACCGTTTTTTGTTACGATGTTGCGTGAATTCAAGTGCCGGATTAAAGCGTAGAAAATGAACTGAAAAACCCGTTTTGCC